GGCTCACCGTGGCGATGCGGCACGTGCTTCGCATGGCTCACCGTGGCGGTGTTACGACGCGCGTTTGCCGAGCGGGCCGGGTCCCGCGTTCACCGTGGCGGTGTCACGACGCGCGTCGCTCACCGTGGCAGTGCCTTGCCGCGCGTGGCGCCGAACAGACCGGGTCCCACGTTCACCGTGGCGGTGCTACGACGCGTGTTTGCCGAGCAGGCCGTTTCCCACAATCACCGTGGCAGTGTCACGACGCGCGTTCTGACCCCCTGCCGAGCTCGCCGAAGTCCCACGATCACCGTGGCGGCGAGCAATCCTCCCGGCGACATCTCCACCAATATATTAGTGGAGACATGCCCACAGCGCCTTAAATCGCCAGAATATTCATGGAGGTACCCGTCATAGTTACGAAGAGGCGTTGTCAGACGGTGAGTAGCAATTCAATTGGGAACCGTCGAGAAAAATGGACGGTGAATTATGAGCATCATTTCTTTCGATTTAAAAAACCGATTGTTCGATAAATACTGCAATATATGAAGCTTCTAAAATCTTGAAAAAATGGCCAGTGGGAGGGGATTGGCGAACATGATTTTTTGACATACTAACCGTGGGAATGTGATCCCTGGATAAATCCTCCAGGCCCTTCTCACCGTTTTAGGAGGATATGATGAATTACGGAACGACTGCCAATATAAAGCGAGGTGCGAGAATAGTTCTGGATTCAGTACTTCTGGGGCTATGCACTGACATCCCAAACATCCAAAACTGAGACGCCCGGAGGTCAGCCTGACCTCCTGGCTGGGACAGGGCTAGGGTGGTGGGAGATCTAGTCCCTTCACCAATTCGTCCCCTTACCGATAAGTAGCGAACTCGCATACCTTCGACAGTGCAACGCACACTCTGATGGTCAGTAGTGTGCATCGCAGGCGCGACATTCTCCGAGCTCGTCAATTGAAGTCGAGAGCACACATCATGGCGTCGCCCTCAGCGAAGACCCGCGGAGGGCGGAATCGGAGATTGTCTTGTCCCAGCAATGAGATCAGATCTTCGCACCTTGTGAGAATGTGAGCCATCATCTCACAGCGTAGATCAACCGAGGGCAGCATCGAAGAGCAACGCACCAAGCCGCACATTGGATACGATTCATGGGCTTGTATCGACAGCCAACATCACTCCTTTGCGTACTGTACATGGATCAAGACGAGACGCTAAGCTTCCTTCACGAAACCCTTCAGCTCAGAGATACGTTCAGCCGCGCCCGGGGCGCCGCTGAAGAGTTCTTCAAGACCCCGCTGGGTAAGGAACTTGTGATCCTCCCAATGAAATCCTGGGACAACGACTTCAGTGATGAGGCATCCGGTTCGGTCGCTGAAACTATACAGTGAGTGCTGTCGAAAGCGACACGAAAGTGGAGACGCTACCGATCTTCCGCCGTCTGCGCTGCTTGGACGTCCTCTGGTGGAATACGTGACATCTTCCAGACGCCAGTGCCAACGAGCAGCTGACGCACTTCTCCTTTGGATGCGTCCGTTCCCATGACGGCTTTCTCGATCCTGGGCGGCGATGTAGGATGGATAAGGGTATATTCGGCACGGCCTTGATGGAGAACGTGATAGGTCTGGGTGGAGGTTCGAGATGCGCGCATCAAGCTTCAAGGGTCGAGGAGAGATGTGACTTACGAAGGATTTGTTCATGTGAAAATAGCCATTGGCGTCGTCATGGGTGAGGAGGTAGTAAATCGCAGTCGCGAGCGAACGAGAAGGGTTGCCCGCTATGGATTGAGCGTATGAGCGCCGATACGAAACAGGGAGATCGAGCCACGTACCGACAAATGGCGTAGGCACGTCGTGCGGCTGCCTATCCGTCTCGACGAAGTACCCTATGTTTATGCCAAAGCGGTATAGCGAACGTCATCCGGGATTTCACGACAGGAACCCGCGGTGCGTAGAGAAGGCGGCATGATCAACCAGTGCAAGGAGCTTTACGGACACATCACGCACCTCCTTCTGGATGTTTGATGAGCTTGAGCTCTTCGACGAGCTGTGAGTTGGGTGTCGGATACGAGTACGGAGCCATATGGGTCGAAGTTGGATGAAGGCAAGTGGGCACAGATAGCAATCTCGGTCAATGTACCGATAGCCTGGACGATGTAGACGCTGAGGGTGACAGCGTGGACTCGAGCAAGATGGCGCGGGACAGTGTGTGGGTGAAACCAATGTCAGGAATCATCTTGAGTTCGAGGTGGACGAGGCTATATCAGCGTTCATCAAGAGCTTCGCGCGGCATCGAGCGGGACGAAGCCAGGGACACGGTCTTCGCCACGATGTTACGATCTGTGAGATGATCTGTGCCTCGGACGTCTTCGATGATAAACACGCACTCCTCTGCCAACCTCCATCTCCACCCCCGTCCCCTAAGGCTGCTCTATCTTGGTCCAGCTGTTCCTCGCTATCTCCTGGCCGACCGCGCCGCCATATTCGTCACCCTTTCTGGTCCCGAACCCGATAGTGGCGCGCAGCAACCCCCGTAGTCGAACATTGCTATGTCGTCGGGGGAGACAAATGCAGAGTTGATTCAGATGGCGCGGGAGGCTTGGGCGGTGGATTGGGTGACGGGTGAGCTGCAGGAACATATTATCCTACCCCGAGGACACGGGTACTGACCATGTTGCTTGCCAGCTGTCTGCATGTCATGCTTGCTCTACGATTGGCTGATTACTCTCGACCAAGAGGTACGCTGAAACGTTTTATCGCGAGGCTGTCTAAGGTTGATACATATGTCGTGTTGCAGATCAACCGAATGTGGCCGTGAGCGACACAAGTAGCGAGCCTGCTTCCCAACACCGCCATTGACGCCTCGATCATCCCCGCAGGGCCCCTTTCTCGATACCAAAAGTATTGTTCTTTCTTAATCGATATGTTGTCGTGTGCATGCTCGTGTAAGTCTGGTGTTCATGCGCTCGTTGCGGCATCTCATCTTCCGATTCCTAGGTTCAATGCTATAGGTAATCCACCGCGCCCACTTGTCCCCTGATCGATTCTGACGACCGAGACTAGCGTCATCTCTCACCCATCTCTCTATATCAGTGAGCACTGAGCATCACATGTTGCGCCCGTATGCTAAGCTCTCCCGACAGTTGTTCGTTATTCGCATACCTGCTTCGCCATAGCGACATCCATTCATGCGTATCAAATCAGTTGCAAAGGGTACTTGCCATGGCTTGTCGTCACGATCACCGTGACCAACGCTGTAGTCGAAGGTCAGCTTCCGGACATCGATCCCGCTGATCCATCGCTCACGAGATCGTCAGGAATCCTCATCACGCGGGTGTGGGCGTTGTGTACGTATCCTCTTTCACTCCACCTCGCATTTATCCAGTCTGAACGCGACGTCACAGTCCGCAGTAATAAGGTAGAACGATTGCTATCGGAGTCGTATAGCGTTCAGCTGAGTTCGTACCAGCCGGTCTTATGGTTTGCGCTGTTCTTCTATGTTGGTGCGTGCTATGCTAGTCCGTTCGAGTTCACTCTACTCACGCGCGCCTTGGGTTCAGGCGGTATCATAACACTCGTCGGGCTCACAATCGACGATTACGTCGGAACTGGACCTGTCAAAGGTGAGTGATATACCCCTACTACTTCCATGTATCCTCCTGGATACATTCGTGGCATCCGACGCTGATCGTGCGCGTCTCTTTCCCTTCAGCCGTGAACGACTTCAACATCCTACCTGGATGTTATGCAGCGGGCGTGCCTCCTATCATCGCCGGATACTGGTAAGTACCAACCAATGAATCCCCAAAGATGATATCAATCTCACCGTCTTCGTAGGATAGCCCCTGTTATCATCGAAAGTGCGACGTCCTGTACCGATTCCACGCAGAGACATAGCTAACGCATCACTCGCATCTACAGGCATAATGTTCGTGTTGATCGTTTCTCGCGTCATTATCTGGTGGCACAATCGAGAGCCTGTGCCTCCCACCCTGATTCTCATTGTTGGTCCCTTAGTATCAGTCGACTTATCCCTAAACTGACATCGCTCGCAACAGGCTCGCGATTCCGCAATCTATTACACTGCGTAGGTGTCTCCTATTGTCGCACTGGGTTATTGCTTAACTTTCGCCTATTTGCGTCCAGTATATTCGGTAAGCGACCGTTCCCTCCGGTATCGAGATCCGACCTTCACGCTGTTTCCCTCCCCAGTTCTACTCATGACAAATTTGTTCGTTTTCGAGTTCGCGTCACCATTCCTATCTTCGATGATGGTAACGTGAGTGGTCTTCCTGGCGCTCCACGGTGCTATGTTACTGACGTACACGCGATGTTGCAGCCCATCCAACACAGTTGGTTCCATCGCCGTGAGCGCCTAGTTTTCGTGGTCTCCTTCGAGCGAATTCTCATTCATCCACCAGGGATCGCGCATGTTGCTCAACCTCAGAGGAATAAACGACCCCGCTCTTACCGAATTTGAGCCGGGGACGACCGAGATCGAGTTCGCGCCCAACCCGGCCGCTCCTACCGCTACGATACGTGGACGGCGACGCGGCCCTCTCAGCTTCGCTGCCATACTGAGCGGCCTCTCCAGCGTCGGGACGGTATCCACTAGCACGAGACTAGGGACGACCACTCGTGGTCGTGAACCCTCGACCACTATGACGGGAAGGGGAACGGAGACGATTCAGTTGGGCAAGCTAAGGGAGCCACGATCTTCCGAGGCAATGTCAGAGGATCGCGCGATACCTCCCGGCGAGTTGGAGTCGGGTTTATAGCCCCTGTTGCATCGTTCACGCGCTGCTATGTGACATATTTATGTGCTATTATTGTACGAACGTCTGATGGGCTGTAGGTTAGCAGACCCATGTGTTGCTGTTGTCTTCAAGGGCACTCCCATCGTTGTCTGAAGAGATGAAATGTCGCCGCCACGAGACCTTGAGACTATACGTAATATCTTGCCCCACAGACCTCTCAGTTGCAAGTTGCAAAGGTTCGTTTCCCAATATCCTCGCAAGAAGAGCCGATCCTAGGGCAATTAATTCATCGCGACTACCTGGTAAGCGAACTCCGTCCGACGTTATCGAACGTTGCGCCTGAAGTCTCTCACCACCATGTTATTTTAGGAAGGCCCATATGCTTCTCTCCCGCGTGACGAGAAGCTATAATTTTCAAGACGAGCATTGCGGAGCGCCTGTTATCTCTTGACCTTTGCCGACGATGCAGCCTGCGCAATCGCGTCCCGATGTAGACGAGAAACAAGCCCTTGACGTCCCCGAGGCTTACGAGGCCGAATCAAACGAGTTCGTGGACGAAGCCTTGCAGTTGGTCGGGCGAGAGAGACATGCGCTGTTTAGCGATGAATACAATCTGCAGCTCAGACGCAAGCTAGTGAGCAATGAGATATGCGTCGAAATCATGGACTGACGGGGTTTAACTAGGATCTATGGATCCCACCTTTGTGTGGACTGGTCTACTTCACCCAGTTCTTGTGAGATGAGTCCCTTGCTTGTAATATATTTCTAATTTGCGTTCTGCGTCGTGTATCAGAGATAAAACGTCTATCAACTATGCGAGGTGAGAAGCTTGATCGTCCAAACAATACCAGCTGACGAATGTGATTATTATAGCATTATGGGATTTCCGATTGTTGGACAAGTACGACCATTCATGCCGATGTAGCGACTTTCTAACCACACTAGCATTATAACCTCGTATCCCTTGCGTTCTACCTTGGTAAGTACATCTGGAATTCTGTGGGAACGTACGCAAACCAGGGCTTTCTAGGATTTCTCATCTCCGAGTTCCCCACCGTGTACCTAGCACAGAGGATTGGCCGGATGTCCAAGTATCTTGGTACGTCTCGGACCCGTCCTAGCGTCACAGGATCTCTGAACGAGTTCCAAGGCGTCAATGTCATTGTCTGGGGTGTAATCCTCATGCTTCATGCAACTGCGTCATCATTCTCTGGCTTCTTCGCCTTGCGGTTTTTTCTCGGTGCCGTATCACAAGTTCCGAGATATTCGTACCATTCTGACACTATAAGATCAGGAATGTGTGAAAGCTGCGTCGCGCCCATACTCAATCTACTCATTTGCATGTTCTACAAGAAGAATGAGCAGGTATGGACTGGTGCTGTATATCATACCCACCTTTTGACGATGCTCTCTCCCGCAGGCGCAGAGAATATCCTGGTTCTACTGCGGCGTTAGTTGCTCATTTGTTTGCGTGCGACTTCTGCGTTACATGCGTTCTACTCTCAGATCGGACTGGCCCAGATCGTCGGAGGCTTCGTCGCATACGTATGAGTATCATCTGGCGTTGACTACACATCGCTCATAACTCATTTATCGTTCCAGGGGATATCATTTTATCAAGGACCGCTGAGGCCAACGTACAAACTTCTATATGTGATCTTCGGCGGCCTCGCGATCCTGGTCGGGATCTGCGTACTGCTGCTCTTGCCAGACTCTCCTGTGCACGCGTCGCATCTGTCCAAGGAGGAGAAGATTGCGGTGCTGGAGCGCATACGTGACGAGCAAATAGGTACGGAGAATCGCAAGCTCAAGCGCGATCAGGTGCGCCGAGCTGTCTCCGGCAGTGATTGTTATGCGTACCTGACAAAGCATAGATTCTTGAAGCGTTTTCGGACGTGCGTACCTGGCTGGTGGTCTTCATGACCATGATGACCAGCATTCCTCAAGGCGGTCTCGGAAGCTGTGGGTGATTCCTTGCTTTCGCAAGTCTGCTCATCATCTCCGTCCATGTTCAGTTAGCAACATCATCATACGTAACTTCGGATACACTGCGAAGGAGACCCTCATCCTCGCCACTCCGCAAGGAGTAACTGCTATTCTTTCTGTTCTGCTTTGCGCGTGGTACGGGGATCGCAAGGTAGCTCCCTTCTCATAGCTCTCCTGATACTGCCTCGATGATTTTATGATGAAGGGTAACCGGATGATACCCATTGTGTTCGGATTGCTACCGACCATCCTTGGCACGGGTAAGTATGACCGTCAACGAATGTCTTTCACGACTGACGGGTGGAACAGCGCTGATGATCGGTTTCAACAAATCTGGGGATAAAGGAGTGCTGCTCTTCGGTACGATGTTGCGATCTTCATCTGGCTTGTTTGGTTCTCACTTAAGCAGCGATCTATATCACAAACTCGTTCAGCAGCAGTTTATCGATGATATACGCGTACAACTCGTCAAACACGGCTGGGCATTCAAAGAAGGCCCGTCCGGATCATACCATGTCGCTTGAATCGTATGCTGACCGTGGTCATGCAGACCACGATCAACGCACTGACGTTGACGTTCTTCTCGATCGGCAACATCGTCGGAACGGAAATCTTCCAGCCCATGGATGCTCCAGACTATATACCCGGCAAAGCAGCCATAATGATCTTCTGACTCTTCAGATGATCCTCGCCTTGGCGCTACGATCCATCAACATCAGACTAAACGCCAAGAAGCGCAGGGTTCTTGTAGACGAAGCACGAAGGCGGGGCTGGACGGACGAGGACATCAAACGAGAACGTGACAAATCTGCATTCCTCGATCTGACGGACAAACAGTGCGTCGAACAGTCGGTGTCCTAATGAGGTGCTCATGGCAACGTACCAATGGGACAGAAACCTGTTCTTCACGTACACCGCATAGTAGTGTCATCGCCATTGCGGAGAGCAAAGAAGTGATCGCACTCGTCATCAGCTGTCCGATGTCTTCGCCGGCTCTCATGAGTTTAACATCGTTCAATTGCATGCTTGATTTTGCTGTCGCAAGCCATGATCGGAAGTAGAAACGCCTGCGTTGATGATGGCATCAGCGAAAATGCGAGACGCTTACATAGGCGCCCATCGTCAGTGGTGGCGGTGAAGCGGCGTTCACGCTTCCGCTTGCCCGCCTCCGGTCAACGAGGGGCAACCGCCATCATTTTCTCCATCTGCATCGCGGGCAAGCAGGCAACCTGGGAATCTCTTGGAAGATGATCTCCAGGATACATAAGTCCGCGATCATGCACGGCACACAGTTTCGCGTGTCCTGGTGGCTCTTCCCTCACCTTCTTCTCGGTTTCCGAAATCCTTTTCGTCCCGGAACGCTCAAGCGACCGGTCGACACACTTCTTTCGACGCACAGGCTCGCGTCTTGGTCTTTTGGGAATTCTCTTCATTCTCTCTCCGCGGTTTAGTCTCGTTCTGACGTTTGCGGCCTCATTCGTTTTCACGATCTTTCTCTTGGACAGCAGCGCGCCATGCCCCACCGATCCCCACTCGCTATTTTCTTACTTTTGACCTGGATTACCACGTCTCAAGCCGCCGTGAACGACTGGACGAAACCCTGCTTCTCCGGAAGTTGTTCATACGACGTTGCCCCGTCCAGCCGTTCCGCCGCAGCCTCGCTGCAGATCTGGTCGACCAACAACAGCTCTATCTCGGATATAACAGAAGCGGCCGGATGGATAGTGCTCGGGTGCAACAACTCTACCACTCAAGATATCCGTCTTGTCTGCAACAGCGATGACGCTGATGCCTCCGGTTGCAACCATGTATATCAAAGCGGCGCGGAGGACACTATTGTCCGTCTACCAGCGAGCGTAAGTGTCAGGTATTACGCTTTTTACTGGGCTCATTTATGACACCTTCATTCTCAGTGCGGCATCCCATTCGCACGTGTGACTGCCGCGAAACCCGCTGAGGATCAGTCCCTTCCAGACTGGGCGGCATCCAAGCGGAAGGCGGGTAGCGGCACCGCGCCTGTCGTTCACTCTCTCACCTTGGATACCAACTGGGCGTCCGTGGACGCCAGCAAGTTAGTTCCTAGATCTAAAAGTCGGTTGTCGATAATTGACCGGGAGCCTAGGTTCGGTACTGTCTACTTCGGCATGAAGGGCACGTCCGCGCCTTCGCCTTCGTCCAACCTTGATAACATCCCGAAGCCTGTCGCACGTCGCTCCCGCGTCCGTTCTATGCGGTAGAGTGGTTTATTATTCTGAAATCTCTCCTGTTGTTAAGGGCCTCCATGCCATCCTGTAGTGGTATCAACGATCTCGAGCGTCGCGGTATATTGGACAGCATCAAGGACGGGTTCCAGAACGCTGTGTCGGGTAAGTATAACCTCCGATCTCCAGCATCGCCCGCTGAAAAGGTCCTACATTAGATGTCTCTGATTTCTCCAAGTCCTTGAACAAGACTTTCGATCCCATCGATCTTAAAAAGGACTTCAACCTCGTCAACATCAAGACACCTTGCGACTTCGGCGATCTCGCGTTCAAAGTAAGCTTTCATGCCTTGCCTTGTGGTGGTGAGTTGAGCTGACGTCACCCTCAGGTTGATGTGGACGCGGACATCCACGCTCAGGCCAACTTTGGCTTCGTCGTCTCCGGATCCATCATCCCACCGAAGCTCACCGAGTTCGCTATCACCACGGGGATTGACGCGGATGTCGACACGGCCTTGGTGATTACAGCCAGCGCTTCTGTACGTTACGCTTGTCCCGCGCAGCCTCAGCGTTACTGATTAAACAACCGTGAATCAAGAACTCTGATCTGAGCACTGGTGATATCTCTCTCTTCACCCTGGGTCTTCCTGGACTCGATATACCAGGGTACGTCTTCTCTATTCCTGCTACTTCGAACATCTTCGAGCTGATTGCACTCTAGCATCTTCGCAATCGGGCCGCAATTCATCCTGAAAGCGAGCGCGACTGCAAAACTCGAAATCGATGCCGACGTCACTGTACAGATCGCCTACCACGTCAAGGGCGCCACTGCTACCTTCCCTCCGGATGATTCCCGCCCACCTGCTGGAGAGCCTCAACCGGATGATTCTCGTGAGTAGTCTCTACCCTCTACATTGTGTGTACCAACGTTGACCAACGTACGCTTGGTAGCTTTGAAGCTCTCAGTCAGCCCCGGTGTCCAGACCAAGGCAACGATCTCCGCTCATCTGACTCCCACCCTTGAGCTCGGCATTTCCGCTTTTGGTTCCAACGCTGGTGTCTTCGTCGATCTCGATGCATCCGCCAACCTCGTGCTTGAATTAGACGCCAACGCGAAGACCGGCATCAATCCTCGCGCGGAGCCCCGTGGATTCTTTGGGGACATCGCCAACGATATCAAGGATGGCTTCGACGACGTCACGAGCTTTGTCGGTGCTCACAACCCCTTCGGCGATCATTCCAGCACCTCCGCACCGCCAGCGCCCACCGATATCAGCGGAGACCTGGGCGAGGATAACTCCGAGGACACCAGTTCCTCCGCCGAGGCTTCGGTCACCTCCACGGAGGCACCATCTTCCACTTCGAAGGCGTCCACTACTGCGGACTCTGCATCCTCCACGAAAGTCGCCACGAAGACATCCGCATCGGCTTCAGCCTCAGCCTCGTCCTCCGAAGTTGCAACATCAAGTGCCTCTACTGCCGCCGCGTCAAGCACCGCCGGCGTTCAAGGCTGCATCTGTAAGATGCACTCGTTCTGCTGACCAGTGTATCGCACTGACAGGATAATGCGCTCACAGCTGCCAACGTGGCGCTACTTGGCCAAGTCGGAACGGACGCGAAGTTCTTCGATTTGTTTGACAAAAATACGAAGGCTACCATATTCCGCAAGACATTCCAACTCTTCAAGGTATGCGTAGGGGCAGACAATTCTCGGACTGTCACTGATCCCGGTTCTCAGAAATGCCTTGGGAGTGCGCCGAACCCCAAGGGTGCCCGCGATCTGCACGATTGGCCGGTGCTCGAGCAGTCCTTCAGTCGTCGTTCTCGCGATGTGTTGACCGTCGGCCGACGGGATGACGATGGCCTTACATGCCCTGCTGCCCCAGCTGCATCGCCCGTTTCGGCTGTTGACGAGACTGTTCCGGCTGCCTCGTGAGTGATGTGCTTCCGACTGACTTCCGCATCGTGACTTACGCGCGTTCGTTCAGGATCGAATCCGTTTAGGTACGGAAAAGTATCATATCGTGAACGCGGTGCCAGTTCTCGCGTTTTCAATGATGGACGTGTTTTCCCCAATATCATTACGCTTTCGTCGCGCACGCAACGAGTGGTCTCATACCCGGTACTATTATAGGATGTTACAAGGGCGCGCTACACTAATACAATTGTTTTGAGTATACCCTAAGCATTCGACGTGTCTCACGGCTTCATTCGGCTTCTTCGTCCACGACAAAAATCGATTCCACATCCGGCCATGGCACTACGCATTCAATCTTAAGTCAGCGAAAAGCTCAGGTTTGCACATTGACATTCCGTACCGTTCCCGCCTGCAGCCCACACCTTCTCCCTTTCGCACCAATAAGCAAGCTGCTCTCCTGCTCTGGCAGGTGCCCAGACGCGCTCTCCAGTGTCAGCATCGGTTTGTGCGCTGAACCAGCGGGGGTTGTGAGGCGGAAGTTGACCTTCCTCTCGTAACTTGCGCGTCTTGCGCTGCTTCTCCTCCTGCATGCTCTTAAGGTCGTTTGCGCGAGTGTACCTTCCTTCTTCGAAGGCGCGTTGATCGGGGCGCAACCGGCAGTCTGTAGGGCATAGGTAGGGAAGTAGTGTGTCGCGAGGGCAGTCGTTCAGAGTGATAGCGAATGGCTATGGTATGTATGAGCTTCAGTTTCGCGGCATGGGATAGTACTCACGGTTAAATTGAACGGCGCCTTGGGTTTCTCCGAGTTCCTCCACAAGAGGATATACTCCGTGGAGTGGGAAGGTGAAGCAGGACCGCCAACCGAAACGTCCGGGTTCAGCGAACCACGACCATTGCCGACTTGACGGGCAACTAGCTGGCTATTCCATCTGCCAGCGATTTCGTAGGTGACGCGTCCTGCGGCATCCATGACGTGGCCAGAGATTTCGAAGGCATCTTTACCACGCCAGCCTCGCGGCTTGAAGGTGAGCACACACCGATCTTTCGTACGTTGGTTGGTAATCTAGGAAAAACAGACGATGATGATCACGGCACGGTGTAGGATCGGGAAAGTGTACTTACGACCATTTCTCCGTAGTGATCTATCGTCGGGTTGGCAAGGATGAACCCCGATACGTTCGTTGTGACCTTCTTCCACGTGTAGTGCTCAGCTACTCGACCTTTAGCGAAGGGGCTCGTGGACTTCGGATACCCTGGACCCCACTCCTCCGGGAGGAGGAGCTCGGCGTGCGCTACACCAGTGGGACGGATCTCGAACGACTTGCCCATGAACTTGTTCTGAGCATCAACCTACCCCAATACACTGAGCATCAATATATGTCAACCTCATGTCTAGCCTTCTTACCTCTCCGTAATAGTGCCATCGTGGCGATTCGGCCCAGCAAGTAGTAATTGGGGGATGGTGGCTAACCTGCTCGGACACGTAGCGATACTCTTTATCGAGTCGAACATATTCGAAGGTCTCGCCCTGCGACACGCACCAGTTCATTAGCTGTACAAGACTATCGTGAACAAAGACTCACAAGCATAGGGTTAAACGGTTTCGCGATACGACCAATGGTCGACGAGTAGTTGGACATCGCGAAAGCCGCCACAAATGCTATCCGACGGTGAGGGTCGCGCTCGTTGACAGCAGCGTCGAGGCATTCAGAAAATTCCATGTCTTCAGCCTGTGATGATACGTCAGCATATTACCGCCTCAGGCTGTGGGACATCTACCATGCGCTGAAGCATGCTGGTCGGCTCGTTGAAGTAAACCGGGAAACTGATTTTCGTCAAATCCTTGCCGATACTTCCCTTTAGCACAGACCAAAGACTAGTCGACGGTCGATTATCGGCGTCAAGCATGAGTCGTGAGCGCAAGTGCTCGTAAGCCTTGTACTGATCCTTATTGATGATGGCCATCTCTGGAGTCGGTTTGGCTGCCGAGATCAGGGATTTGTTGACGACGAGGTTAGGGAGAGTGTTCGACTCGATCGCGTCGAAGAACTCGTCTTCCTCATCCGTATCCCCTTCGTCCTCGTAGGCCGGTGATCCTGGCATAGCGGGAGAGAACTGGCGTGCCATGGCTAACCCGGCGGAGGGTAGTGGACCGAGCGATAGACCGGAGCTGGACGCGGGGAGACCGTCCTGAGCCTTCGGGGTGGGCAGATCCGCTGTCTCCACGAGCTGCGCCTCCGACGAGACACCCTCCCCAGTTTCGGATATGGGCAAGCCCTCTGGCATGCGGCGTGCCTTGAGCGTGCTGACAGGTCTGTCGATGATGACGGAGTCATGTATCCGGCTCGACCGTCGCCGACTTCGAGTCTTGAGCTCCCGTTCGAGTTCCTCGCCTTCCTTTACAACCATTCGGAGGCTCTCTTCCCATGCCTGTTGGCGCCGTCGCTCCGCCTCCACGGCCCGTCTCCACCAGTCATCCCGATCCCTGGCCATCTGGATGTAATTCGACAGCATTTCCTGCACGGTGCCCATTGAGTCCCGGAGGGCTTTCTGAAGCTCCGCCGCATTGGTCGGTGCGCCAGGAGGGATGGGCATGCCCGCGAGAAGCTGAGCGGTGGCTTCCAACTGTGCTACCGCCGCGTTGCCGTGAAGGTCAAACTGAGGAGTGTGGGGTGGCACGGCCTTGGCGGCCTTCTCGCCTCCGTCAGAGAAGTTGGCTTCCGCATCTTGATCAGAATCGTCCTCTCGACCGCTGATGGGCTCAGGTTCGGCCGTGACGTGATGCAAATCGGGCTCCGCGTCGCTCTCGTTCACGCTGGTCGGTTCAAGGTCCGTGTCTACCCCAAGGCTAGATGATATTGAGGAAGTGATGCGGTTCCTCTTCTTGGACGACACGGCCGTGGCAGGTGCTAGTATAGTCATGGAGGCGTTACGGCTGGGGAACGTCGACATGGTTCGGGCACGGCTGATGAGGTTGGTCGATGACCGACCCTTCCCGCTGGTCTCGCTTTGTTCGCTATCCATGCTGCGTCGGCTGGGTGGGCGAGTAGGGTCCGACTGGCCTTGACCTTGCAAATCGCGATCCCGACTTCGATACCATTCGATGCTTCTTGCGATCGCCTGTGTCCAGCGTGCGGCCTCTACCGGATGGTTGGCTACGAAGACATCAGCCAAGGTCTGGTTCCGAGGGATGTGAACGAGGCATGCTTACCCTTGATGAACCACTTCTGGACGCTGGCACCTGCCCGAGGCGGGCTCGAGTGCACCTCGAAGCGCATCTTGTCGTCCGAGCGCAGCACAGCCGTCTTCATCGCGATTGATCCTCGAGACGCAACAGCTTCGTCTTCTTGATGCCTGTAATCTGGAGTAGGGTAACGATATGTTAGGGCCATTGTCAATGGAGGCAATGTGGGACCGTCACGCACAGGACAGAACGCCACCACGAAGGACGAACCAGCGCGTGCTGTAACCCTTCGCGACATTCGTGTATTTATTAAGGTAGCCCTTGAGGGTGGGTGGCTCCGCAGCGGAGTCTTGAGTTTCCAATAGCGCCGTATCGCGATTCGTGACTGGATTCTACGATCAGCGAGGGTATACGAGAGTTTATGCATCAAAGCTTACATTGCCTCAGGAATGCTCTTACTCTCTCATCCTTACCCGCCGCTTCCACAACTCCGCGACCACGGCGATCCCGAACGAAGACGTCGGCACCGGCACGAATAGCTAGTTCAATCAGTCGCAGGTCTTTACGAGCAGCTGCAGCGTGAAGCAAAGACAATCCGGTGGTATCGTCAAGATGCGAAAGATCGAGTAGTTTAGTGCGTGGTGAGGAGAGGATGGAGAGGAGGGCATTTGGCGGCGATGGTGGGCCAGGATCGTGGGCAGATGGTGCGGCAGGTGGTAGGGGAGACATTGCATAGGTTCTTAACAGCGAGCGATAAGAGGCAGTGAGGAATGCTCGGGAGTCTGTATAATCGTCCGTTGAGTACCGAGCGGTGTGGCTTGCGCGCGGGACACACCATGGATAGCACGCACGACGTCTCTCCCCCGAGCAACGTCCACAGCAGTCTTTCCCTTTTCATCTCTGAGCGTATCGTCGATCTCTTCTTGTTCGAGAAGTAACCGTACGACGTCGGCGCGTCCTAGCGAAGCGGCGAGGTGGAGAGCGGTCGTTCTCGATCCGGGTGGATGAACAGCATTCGGCGAAATGGCCTTATGCGACAGGACGAGGTTGACAGTGTCATCTAAAGGAGCAACGCTCGTATTTGCGTGTATGACAGCGGCTGAGAGGGATGACACGCACAAGTGCCACATCGGATCGCAAGATGAAGGGCTGCCGGCGCGAGGCTGGAGTCGCCGAGGGTAGAGGTTGACGCTCTTCTCGACTGGTCCTTGCCGATATCAGCTAAGAATGGGTGGATCTGTGCAGGATCACCTGGACGAAACTCGTTACACGGACACAGGGAACTCAGGCGAAGTGGCGGACATACCACTGCGTAACGCAGCCAGCAACTTTACTTGATACAACGGTTCTGCGGGACCTAATCGACGGAAAGTATGATGTCAAAGCCGCTCATCATGAAGAAAGTTGGCTCACCGGAAACATCGCTGCGTACACTGGCATTGCTGGCTTGGGTAGCCATGGACGAAACACCGGCTCAGGCCGTTACGGACAATAGTTCCGCAAACCAATGGCAAACGTTATGATTTGTCGATATAGGTCGGTGGATACTGAGCTGAAGTTGTATGTACGTTGCGTAGGTGTTGTTGAGTCGTTGCGGGAATGGTGGTCAAGACTGAGCGTGTACTTAGTGAGATTGTGAATGAGATCACTGTCGCGCGTCGCGGAGACAGGCGGAGCCGGGAGACGATTGTCCGCCCTGATTTTTACTTATTCCTTCACCGCAATGCCAAACATGCCCTCATTCCATTACTACCATCGCATCCAAATGTTACCGATCGTTATGAATGCTCTGAATTGCTGCGTGCTCTCGGTTTCCCTGTGCTCATCTGACAATCTGCTCGCCGTTAGCAATAGGCCTGCTGATGTTCCTTTCCCTGGATGCAAGGTATGCTCGCAGGAACCGCAGCGACAGATCTATAAACTCAGCTACCCACGAGCTCACCGGATGAAACTTGATGAATCTCTCATGCCCTCACCACCGACGCAATGCACCCTGGATCCCAGTGTAAGCCTCGACTTGCGGATCCGCCTCGATGGCCTCGATGGACATTGCGTTGACGACGTGTCTCATTAAGCAGTTATTTGACAGTTATTTCGCTTTCATGAACTATCCGAAGCTGCATTAAGGTGATCGGGAAAAGAGTGCCTCCCACTGAGCTTCTGTCCTTCTCATGCGAAAAACGACTTGAAGAACGGAAGTCCGTCTTTCCGACCGAATACGACTGGCGTCGGGCACCCCCTTGTGTGCTTGCTCTGAACCTTGCGCAATGTTATCTCTTCTGGATCCACAATCGCGTGCTCTGGTATCTTTCGCTGTATAACATCTCGTATGCACTGGGTGGCAGCAGGTGATACCGCCTTCTGTCGACAGCCTAGCCATGATCGGTCTGAGCCAGATTGGAGGCCCAACCAGTGCAGTCCCTACTGATATCGACGAGAAGCGATCCTCTAGCAACATCGATAAGGACATCGAAGATCTCGCTACCGCTGCCGCTCAAGATGAACTGGAATACCCTACCGATGAAGAACGTCAGACACTCCGTAGAGTTTCCGACGCGATTCCGTGGAACGCCTACTGTACGTTCATTACACATTCCCCTGCACACACATCTGAGCACTTGTCGTTTATCTGTCAGTGATTGCCATAATTGAGCTGGCAGAGCGTTTCTCCTACTACGGATCCACGGTCGTCTTCACCAACTTCATCCAGCAACCTCTTCCACTGTCATCTCGCACCGGAGCAGGCGGTCTGAATGGCCAAGCTGGGGCGCTAGGCCTCGGTCAGCGCACAGCGTTCGCCCTGACGACTTTCAACGCGTTTTGGGTCTACGTCATCCCGCTGTTCGGCGCGTACATCGCTGATACCTACTGGGGGCGCTACAAGACCGTCTGTGTCGCCGTGGGGATTGGGATGGTTGGACATGTCCTTCTCATCGTCTCAGCGCTTCCACCTGTTATCGCGCACACCCAGGGATCGTTGGCGTGCTTTGTCGTCGCGATAATCATAATGGGCCTAGGAACAGGAGGATTCAAGGCAAACATAAGTCCTCTTGTCGCAGAACAATATCAAAAATCGAAGCAATACATCCGAGCGACAACGACAGGGGAACGCGTCATCGTCGATCCTATGCTTACCACATCTCGTATCTATATGGTACGTTCGGAGTGTGCCTTGCGATTTCGATCTGGTATCGACATTCTGCCTACAGTATTTCTATCTCTTCATCAATATCGGAGCATTGGTTGGGCAGATCGGGATGACCTATTCCGAGAAGTTCATCGGCTTCTGGCTCTCCTTCACTCTCCCCACGATCGTATTCTTCCTGTGCCCGATCGTGCTCTACCTCGGCCGCCATCGTTATCGCCACTCTCCTCCCACCGGATCTATATTGTCCACCGTTCTCCGTCTCTGGCGCTTCGCAGCCCGTGGACGCTGGTCTGCCAACCCAATCAAGCTGTATAGAAACATGACTGCCAGCGACTTCTGGGAATCGGCTAAGCCCAGCCACCAGTCCGCCGAATCCAAACCGCGCTGGATGACGTTCGACGACGCGTGGGTTGACGAGGTCAAGCGCGGGTTCAAGGCCTGCGCCGTATTCTGCTGGTACCCAATATATTGTACGTTCGGTCCGTCACCACATTGACTCCATTCTGACTTACATCTGACAGGGCTCGCATACAACCAACTGCACGGAAATCTGACATCCCAGGCAGCCACGTTAGAAACGCATGGACTGCCGAACGACGTGCTGGCAAACCTCGATCCGCTCGCGCTTATTATATTCATCCCAATCTGTGATCTCTTCATCTACCCGGGACTGCGACGGGTTGGGTTCAACCTGACTCCTCTCAAGAAGATCACTTTGGGCTTCTACACCGGCTGTGCTGGCATGATATGGGCCGCCGTCGTACAGCACTACATATACAAGGTGACGTATCCTGGTTGAACCTCGTAATCCCAGGCTGACGACACGGATGCAGACGAACCCTTGTGGGACACATGCAGCGACCTGCCGCGACGCGCACAACAACAAGCTCGTCTCCCCCCTAATTGTATGGATACAGACTGGATCATACGTTCTCGTCGCCTTTTCCGAGATCTTCGCGTCGATCACCGGGCTCGAGTACGCGTTCACGAAGGCGCCGAAGAATATGCGCTCCCTCGTCATGTCCGTGTTCCTCTTCACCTCCGCCCTCTCATCCGCGCTAGGAGAAGCGTTCGTCAGCCTGTCGCAGGACCCTTTGCTAGTCTGGAACTATGGCGTGGTGGCCGTGATTGCGGGTGTGACCGGTACGCTATTCTGGCTTGCGCATCGAAAACTGGATGCCCAAGAAGATGAGCTTAACAATATGGACGAAGGGCATGTCACTCACTGAAGGACTATCAAAACTAGTTGTAACAAATCTATTCTCTTGTTCGCCTGACTGTGAATACATGAAAGGGGACGTCAACGTGTCTTCAGAAGTTCTCGATGGCCGCGCGATCCGCGTCAAGCCAATCAGGGAAGCTTCCCACGCCATGAGGAGACGAAAAGTTAGAACGTCGGGTCTCTGATTCTTCTTTCCAACCACTGAGTTCTACCCGACATATCACAAATTGTATCTGTTGGCCTCATATGCCGCTGCTGGTCTGCTGGTCTTGTGCGATATCCATGTAACATCCGTAACGTCGTGCGACGATTGTCCAATGCGTACGGCCACGTACCTGGCGCCTGACTCTTCTTCATTGATTATGAAGCACCAATGGATGAGGATCGCAGGGTATTGCGTCGAGTGTCAGATAACATCCCATGGAACGCATTCGGTGGGTGTTTCATCGGTCACCCGCCTACGACGAACATACGATTCCGGGTGGTGACACTCATAACATCTCCTCCTAGCCATTGCCTTCGTCGAACTTGCTGAACGTTTCTCGTCATACGGATCTACCGTCGTCTTCACCAACTTTATCCAGCAACTGCTTCCACAGTCTTCCGAAACAGGCTCGGCTGGACTACATGGCCAAGCGGGAGCACTCGGCTTTGGTCAGCGCACGGCTTTCGCTATGACCACCTTCAACGCGTTCTGTGTTTATGTCGTGCCTTTGCTCGGAGCCTATATCGCGGACACGTATTGGGGTCGCTTTAAGACCGTGTGTGTTGCGGTCGGGATTGGGATCATCAAGCACAGTCTGCTTGTCGTATAGTCTTTACCATCCGTTATCGCGCACCCTCAGGGATCACTGGCGTGCTTTGGCATCGCGGTTGTGATCATAGGTCTCGGCACTGGCTCTTTCAAGGCGAACATCAGTCCTCTCGTCGCGGAGCAGTACAATAATACCCAACAGTACATCCGGGTCCGCCCTAACGGCGAGTGTCATCGTCAATCCGACGTTGACCACCTCCCGCATCTACATGGCGAGATCGATTCAGTTCCAAACTTCACGACCTATTTAACCTTTGAGCACAGTACTTCTACCTCTTTACCAGTATCGGGGCTTTGGTCGGCCAGATCGGGATGACGTACTCCGAGAAATTCTTCGGATTTTGGCTCGCCTTCGCCTTACCGACGATCGTATTCTCCCTGTGTCCAATGGTGCTCCTTGTTGGTCGTCGGTATTACCGACATTCTCCTCCAGCGGGCTCAGTCTTGCCTGTAGCGTTTCGCGTTTGGCAGTTCACGGCGCGGAAGCGCTGGACAAGAAACCCTCTAAAGTCATTACGAGATATGTCCACAGACGATTTCTGGGAGACGGCTAAGCCAGGTCGCCAGCTGGATGGCATGAAGCCGCAATGGATGTCCTTTGACGTCAGTGAGTCGATGAAGTCAAACGGGGGTTCAAAGCCTGCACGGTATTCTGTTGGTTTCCCATCTACCGTACGATAACCTCTTGATTCCTTTCGCCCAAGTATAACTCCTATCATCCGTAGGGCTGGCGTACAACCAGTTACATGGCAATTTGACGTCGCAAGCGGCAACCTTCGACTCGCATGGGCTACCTAACGACGTTTTGGCTAATCTCGCTCCATTAGCTCTGATGATTCTTATTCCCATTTGCGACATCCTCGTCTATCCGGGGCTTCGTCGCTGCGGCATCAACTCAACGCCTCTCAAGAGGGTTACCCTCGGCTTCTTTACCGGTGCCGCTGCGATGGCTTGGGCTGCCGTCGTACAGCATTACATCTACAAGGTATGCATGCTTGCGATCTTCGAGTTTGCGTTGCCTTCTGATCAACGTGCTGCAGTGGAACCCGTGTGGCGACCACGCTGCGACCTGCCACGACGGCCATGGGAAGAAACTCGTCGCCCCATTGACGGGCTGGATTCAGACGGGCTCTTACGTCCTTATCGCCCTGTACGAGATCTTCGCGCTTGATTACGGGGCTTGAATACGCGTTTACGAAAGCGCCGAAGAACATGCATTCACTTGTCATGTCCGTCTTCCTGTTCGCGTCCGCCGTGTCGTCGGCACTGGGTGAGGCCTTCGTCGATCTCTCCCAGGATCCGTTGCTGGTTTGGAACTATGGGTTCATGGCCGTCCTCTCCGCATTTACGGGCGCGTTGTTTTGGCGATCCCACAGGAAGCTGGATGAGTTAGAGGATGAGTTGAACGGCATGGATGAGGGTCATGTGAACTGCTGAGGTAGACGTTAGCTTGTGATTCGCTATAACCTTCACCGTTTTCTGTATTCTTCTGCGTCCATATTCCGACTCCCCCGAAGGAGGGATTTTTTATTTTTACTTTCTGCGCATGGGCCTCGTCACAGTGACAGGACAGTGACCCCAGCCAAAACGTTACATAAGCGTGATAAACAGTGATTGTCCGCTACAATCGGACTGCCGTGCGTTAGGACGCAGCAGCGTGACACTGTAGGTGTGAGCACGCTTACATGATGTAGTGGTATCACTCTGTACGTGTGATGTATCAGTTGGCCAACCCGCCGAGGTCTTTTTCGCTCTTATCGATATCAGTTGCATAATCACAGTGTCTACTGCGCTTTACTTTCTCTGCGTAATGATACTTTCCGTGTCTGGACGGAAATTTGAGCGCTTGTTCGACAAGATAAGATAAACCATGGCTACTCAAGACTTGTCCACGGATGTCCGCGGATAAGCCCTCTACTGACCGTGGCGAGTAACTTGTGTTACAAAAACATCCCATGGTCATAAATGATGTGTGAGTGCTCATGTATGTGTCCTCAGGCTTCCTGATGTGTCCTCGCAACTACTCATACCACACCTATCTTGTAGATGCGCACTGATATAGATACATATACTCGAGCAAACTGCAAGGGAGGCGGAATGCGGCGCTTGGCGCCACCTTACTCACGTGGCTTTCAGAGTATCCATTACCCCTAGACTTGGGTTCCGTTCATCCCGGCTGCAGGCTGGCTTGTGTGGTCGCAACGTGAGTAAGTGGCGTCAAGCGCCGCATTCCGACTCCCCTTGCAGTTTGCTCGAGTAACTCCAAATCAGTGTGCATACAATACAGGTGTGGTACGATAAATGCAAGGACACAGCAGGAAGCCATGACATATACATGGGCACTCATGAATTGACCATATCACCGTGGGATGATCCGTCTGAACACAAGTTAAGACAGGGCCAGCGCAAACCCTGGTACATCACACCATCACGTGTTGGCGCCACAATGGTCTCTCGACCAATCACAGCCCTCGGATGAGCGGGATTCCCAGAGAATGGGCAGCTTGATTAGGATATCGCTGCTCACCCAGCACTCTCTCATAATATGTAGGACCGTCATATCATCGAGTCATTGTCTAGCTATGATGTGACGGTAGTAGATATGTTGCAGCTTCTGTGCAGCGCACCAAATACAACAATTCTTGGCATTTCCTCGACAAATGCGACACGTGATGTACCAGGGTTTGCGCTGGCCCTGTCTTACTTGCCACGGTGGGTAGAGGGTTTACATCCGCGGACATATCGGCCGTTGCCATGGTTTATCTTATCTTATCGAACAAGCGCTCAAATTTCCGTCCAGACACGGAAAGTGTCATTACGCAGAGAAAGCAAAGCGCAGTAGACACTACGATTATGTAAATGATACCGATAAGGCCGAAACAGACTTCGGCGACTCGGCCAACTGATACATCACACGTACAGAGTGATACCAGTACATCATGTAAGCGTTCTCACACCTACAGTGTCACGCTGCTGCGTCCCATCTAGCGCTCGTCCGTCCGATATTCGCGGATTATCACGCTTTATCACGCTTTTGTAACGCTTTGGCTGGGGTCACATGTCTGTCACTGTGACGAGGCCCATGCGCAAAAACCAACTCCCTCCTTCGGGGGAGTCGGAATGATGAACTCGTCCCAACAGGCGGCTCTCGCAATCCTTGCGTCGTACTTCATCGTCATCCTCACCCTATTTTCCTTGATATTTGCGACTATACCATGGAGGAATAACGGGAACACCTGGAGGAGATGCATATTTATGCTTTTGACGACTGCATCGCTTGCTCACACATGGTACTGTACGGCGTCTGGACACGCGTCGGTTGATTCGCATATACCTGATTTCTCACCATAGATATGTTCGCGTTCATGAAAGTACGTATACCTCCAATGTTCCGAGGCTGTGTTGATTGCACCTGCAGTGGAGCTTTGATGACTACGAATCCAGCCATCTTGCCTCAACATCATCTCAGTACTTGGAGCGAATTGCAAACTGGCTCGTGGACACTGCACTCTTTGAGCAAGCTTGGGCTAGAGTGTGTGCCGGTCCGCTCAACTGGTGGTGGAGCGAGCAGATATGCATTTACACCGCTGGAGCGTGGACCGTATTTCTTGTCGTCGAAGGTACGTCTCTTTCTCGTTTAACTGTGGGCATCCTTAGGAGCATGACGATAGGTAGACGCCATGATATCAAACACGTATGGGCGTACATGTTTCTGGGCCAGGTGGTCGCTATATCTGTTGCATCCAATGTGTTCTATCTCGCCCTCCTATACGCGAAGTCTTCCGATGGTCCAGTTACTGCAGGCCAACGCGCAGCTTCTTCCCACTCCCGTGCCACTTCCCGGTCCCAGGGCTCAGGGATCCTCGTACTCTGCACCTCTCTATCTCTTGTCACGGTCGCTCTCACCCCGTACCTCTCTCAATACTGGTTCCTCCCAAACCTCCTCCTCATGCACGTGCTCCTCTTCATACCCCTCCTTGCTCCTGGACCGACCTCGGAGAAAAGAGAGACGGGTTTGAGCATACGCACCCTCTACAGCCTGGTCACAGTGCTCGCCATTTTCCTCCGTGGTCGCACTGTCTACGATGCCCTGTACTCAGCCGCAGCCGTTAGTAAGCAGGCGGACCTGCTACCCGCCCTCTGGAAGACGCTGCATGAACATCCTGCGCAGGCGAGCATCGGCTGGGACGTCGTCTGGACCACGATTTCGTTCATATTCTGGGTCATGTCAGACCCACGCTTCAAGGATACAGGACTCCTCGCGATGTTGGCATCGCCCATCATGGTTGGCCCCGTTGGTTTCCTTGCGCCAGCGACGCTCAGGTGCCTGGAGGAGAGTTCATAGTCACCATGCATTTTGGGCAACCCAGACAAGTGCTCTCGTATATTACCCACAAGACGTATCGCTTACGATTTACGAACGCCGCAGCGTGATCGCACTTCATAATTAGCTGCCGGTAGAAACTCCCTCATGGTAACCTCAAGTGGCAAGAAGTCATTTGTATTTCCCAGGATTTTTGCATACACGGAACACGATTGTCATTTCATGAGTCCTCTCGTACTGTACCCTGACCCGTCAAAAGTACCGAGAGGTCGAGAATATTCAGGATATTGCAGGACAATTCATTTGGCGCTCTCAAGGGCGTTGATGATGGATCTTGCGGAACGGATGGCGTACCCCATGGAGGTGAGGGTGGGATTGGCTGCATAGCCGGTTGGAATCACCCCATTGCCTCCGACGTAAAGGTTTGAGAAGTTGTAGACCTTGCAGTTCGTGTCCGCGACATGCTCCTTCGAGTCGAGACTGCGGATGTTCATCAGGACATGGGATAAAGAATTGATGATTGCACTGACCCTGCGCGAACAGTGCCGCCTACGTTTGCAGAGGATCATCAGTCCCATATCATTTGCGTGTTATTGTGACTGACCAAGATGAAGAGCCAACCCCGGAGCCATGAACTGAGGCTCGGAGCCAGGCAACCAGCCTCCGAGTTCTTTAGCCACGTTGCACATGCTACACGTAGCGAGAATGATACCGTTATATGGTGGCCTGCACAAAAGAAACCCAATACTCACTCCGTCATCATGTCATGAGCACGAGTCTTGTCGTCGTCGCTCATGCGGAATGTGAACGTGGGCTGGGGCATGCCATATCCGTCCTCGTACTTGGTCTCGAAGTCGATCCTATTGGTTGCTTCGGGCTTCACGTATCCAAAGAATCTGAAGTCAACGATAGTCCGTGTGTCGATCGTCTCAGCAACAGCGCCGTATGAGAAGGCGTCGCGATGGATCTTGCATTCACAATTAAAGCGGACAATTACTTCGCCAGCAAAGAGATGATATACCTGGGCGTGCCATGGTTTATCCTTTGTGAATAGCTTGGTTACTTGCGGTTCTCCATCGCGGAAGGGGACTAGAGCAGTGTCATGAAGTCGCGTTCACGTTGACGAGTTTATACTTACATTTTAAAGGATCCTCCGGATGTTTCGCCTTCTGGTAATCGACCTAATATACACGTTAGAGGTGATCATGGCTGTGAACCCGATAACGTACCTTTTCCTTCCACCACGAGAGATTGTAAGGGTTGTTCGGGATGGTTTTGAGTAGACTGGTCTTGAGAACGATTTGGCAGAAGGACATGCTAAACAACATATCAGTCATGACGAGCGGTGGATCAGTTCAGAACGAACGGCTGCTCTGTTATATGCGTGCCCTGCGTGTATGTTAGAAAATTCCATATATCCCGGCTCCGCGACTTATACGTACCAAGTTATGGATGGTTGGAAGCATGGATGTAGTCATGGATGTAGTCGTCTTCCGCCCAAATCCTGAGTTGAATAAGATCTATGAAACACGGGTTATCAACGACATCAACACTTCGGTATGTTACGCACCTGCGGTGTAGCAACGGCACCCGCGGCGATGACATACATCTTCGCCTGAACGTACGAATGCTGCTCCTCGTGGTTGCTGACGTCTGCTAAGAAATCCTTCACTTCAGCTGCGCCGATCGTCCACGTCCCATCAGCATGATGATCAGATACGGCCACACGGGTGCAACGATGGTTCGTGAGCAATCTGAATCTGGACTTCAGCTCGGGATTGGTGTATATCTTCTCCAGAATAACGTCCGTGCCGTGCCAGTAGACGTAGTCTGGGTTCGGCATGCGATGACACGCCAGCGGAAGAGGCCCAAAGTCGAGCTTGGGCTTCCCGTTCGTACCATTGAACGCATTTTGAAGGGTGCGGAGGACGAGCGTGTGGCGAATCGACTTGTCAAATGCGTGAGTGGTAGTCCCGATGAGTTTCATAGCTTCTTCGTATAGCTCTTCCCAGGCGTCGAAGTTCTCCTGTTCGTTCGACACAATTCGGGGGAGCTCTCCCTGGCGGTTGAACTTGGGGGTGGCGCAGGTCCAATGTGTCTGAAGAGAATGTCAGATCAAGCGGTGAGGTGAACTTCGTCACATACCGTCATTCCGCCCACACCGCGCGTCACTGCCTCTGCAGCCAGGTTTAGATTAGCCTCCTGCGATGGGTTCTTTCCGTTCGTAACTGGGAGCTCGTCCCCTCTATGGATTAGTAGGCATGCGTCAAACATAGATACTATCTACAGCGATCTGGATAAAGTACGAACCCGGCTCCCCAAGACGTCGGGTCGAGCGTGTCTGACGTTACATTCTTGACGGGAACGGATACAACGCTGAGGGCACCCTTAAAGGAGGTCGTAAGTGAATGACGATAACCCACGTCGAGGACTTAGTAATACCTTTATCACACTTTGGAAGGTATACAGTCTCGTCAACGGTGGACTCTGCATTCATGAAGGCTACATACTTAACAAAGCGGTCAATGTCCTGTGAATCGGTGAGCGACTTCAAAGTTCAATATCGAATATAAGCCTTCCTCACCTTCTGATACTCGACTTCGTTCTTCTTGTGAGCGCCGGGGATGAATGCATCTCTGTTTGATATATGTTACAAACGAAGACAAAAGTCACGATCCGAACTTACGCGCTTCCATCCTCGGTAGTGGTCGCCTTGAAGCTATCGCTGAATGACAACCGATCAGTCCCAAGCACTGTGCATACTCACGCTATCACGCTCACGCAGCGCCGAGTTCACACATGACAACCTTGGATAATGTTCATCAGTTGGGTCCATGCCGCAGCAGAGAACACGCACCTTATAACCAGCCTCGACGAGCAGAAGTGCATAGGTCGCACCGATAGGACCACTTCCGGCAATGAAGACCTTGAAGACAATACGTTTACAATGAACAACCTCATGCGTGATACGCGCAGGAGGCTTACGTCGGCTTGAAAGTCACGCAACTTCTTGTTGGGCTTGATTGAAGGGTTTATACCCGCAGAGCCCTCACGGAGGATCTCTTCGATGGACTTGGAGGACATTGCGAGAGTTGGTTACGAGCTGAGCGAGCGAGTTACTGCCAGTGAGTGCAACTTAAGAGTAGTCGAGTACCCTTGTCTCGTTTATATATAAGATTGTACGGACGAGTCGCCGCACAAAAGCCACATAGTCACGCCAGCGAATGCATGCGTCCATAGCAGACATTGTTTGGTAATTGTGCGGCTGACTAGCCATTTGGCGTATACGTCAGAAGTTTTCAAGAACCCCATGACTTACCAGGGCGCATCTCCGTACATGATTTTGGGGTACGACGAATACAAGATGGCATACAGCTGTTCAAATGACGTTCGATCCTAGAAGCCAATCGTGTGTCAGAGACAACTCCATCGCTGCCGGAGCTTGCGTACATCCGGACGTATTGGTGCGCTCGCATGGAGTGGAGCCAGTACCCGTGGGTCTGTCGACTATTGAGGAACAAGATTGTGTCAACAACAATTACATCGCAGACGGAGTATGCGTACCTCCGACGATGAGTTCGTATGGCAGAAATGAACACCCGTTGACCATTGCAGGACGACAACGTGAGAGCTTGTTTGAGAGCGTATGAGCCTGAAGACTGCCATGACGTGACGGAGACTGGATGAACTTTTTCATGTTCAAATCGGCCCGTATGTGTTACTCGGTGCCCTGTGCCTGCAAAAATGGTAGTGCGCCAGCTTCTCTATCTGAGTGGCATCCGGGGCACTGTAAGCCCCCTCCAGAACAATTAGGGTGGAAAGGAGGCCAAAGAAGGAACTGCAAGTGATAATCTTCGCGTTCCAGCGGGCGCAATCACCAGCACATTACGAGAACATGTGACAAACGCGGCATAGGTTATTGACATTTGCCACAGTCATTGTGGAAAACAGTGTTCTCGTGGTACGCCATACTGATGGGCGAGAAGATCAGATGTCATGAATAGCTCTGGTCGGCGTCGAATGAGATCCGGTGGAGATGTTGATACTAACTAGTCTAGACTGCATGACAAGGTCCGACTCCATCGACAGGCACGAAGAATCTTCTGTGAAGAGTTGTCAGTATGACACTTTTGAGAAAATACGAAGCGCACCCTGTGATGCGCCCCTCTTCAGCATAAGAACTATACAATGCCGACTGAACGGCGGAGACTCTCGACGGAATCAATGCAAGAGATCGAGTACTTGTGGCTGTATGATCGTCTGATCGTGTTAATGGACTGGCATGCCGCAGGACTGCGTGCGATGAATAACTGCATCCCAACAATGCTAGATGAGCCTTTCGTTTAACTCATCAGTAAACACACCAAAATGACGTACTGGGTGGTGCCTGCCCCATTGTTTCACAAGAGTCTACGCTCAATCTAGGGAGCAAGGACGGGGCACGCCCACGGTCGATCGGCGCTACCGACTCTCCGAAGCTGCCCGAGCGCGGATGTAGAAGTACAGAAGTACACGTGATCGTGGTGCACAGTCGCGAACACGCGCTCGTCTCTCGTCTCCCTTCGATTATCCGCTCTTCCCCCATACTCCGAGCTGACAGGCCAACATTCTGGTCTCCGAACTCGGAAACAAGGGTGTATATATTACGCGCAGAAGCCACCCTCGAAATCCCAACGCGCCGCATAACCTACGCTTGAACACATGCAGACTCCTTATGTCAAGCGAGAACACCGCGACTGTCATCGGTGCGCAGATAAATACACGCTGGCGACACTGTGGTGGATGGAAGTTGTGAACATACGTCCATCCGCACCCTCGGTTTTCACAAGGACTTAGGACGCCATGCAACATTTTTCTAAGATCGAAGTTCAAGGGTCTCGCCCTGATGGCTACTGGGTCGAAGCCTTTCCATTCCATACCAAGGATACTCAGGCTCCTGATCTTGTCGGGTACGGGTTAGGCACGTCTCAAGATGCGAGCAAGATTCATGTTTTCCGCAATCCTTATCGAAAGGGACAATCGTGAGCATCATACCTCCGTCGTAGCTGAGATTCCCTCATAGACGTTCAGGTCTATACCGCCCCCTACGGGTGATTGGCAAAATATCCACGTTGCAACGCTCCAATTTCCGGTCGCTTTCTGCTGCGCCGATATATCTGGGAATGGATATAACGACAGTCAGTATTCGTCTTATTCACAGGTGTCTCTCGATTCTAATGGTTGAATACGCATGCAGTCATTCTTTCTGACACCTATGGCTCCTCTATGAATGACATCTGGTCTGACGGCGGTAGAGTAAGGCGATATTGCAGTCACCCAATGGCCCATGCTGATTACGTCATCGTCAAATTGTACAGGTTAGTTGGTTTGAGAATACGGGCGACTACAACCGTGAGGTTTGGACGCAACGATATATAGGCCGCAGTCCCGGTATGCACCGACTGAAAAGTACGCGCCTACACAACGTTCAGAAATCTCGCAAGGCTGACACCTTTTGCGCTAGCGGGTCATTTTACGACCAGCAACGCAGTCCAAATCATTGCCGTCCCTATCGTTATCAAGTCGGGTGATTTTGAGAGTCCTGCGCCGGTTATTATCTACACCGCTCCTCCAGATCCCAGGAGTCCCCAAGTGGACGGGGGCTGGCCTAACGAGATCGCTTTCAAGGACACGTTTCGCCTGGTTCATGAGATCACTGGTTTGTATACTTGTCCTGCATCGTACTTGACGAAAGCTTGCCTCATTACTATCACTAGTTATTCCCGGTGCGAACAATGGCCTGGATCAGGTATTACTGGCCGGTCGCGAGGGCATCAGCCTGATTTGGTATAATGAAACCTCCAAGAAGTGGATGTCTGAGCACTTGGGATCTGGCCTTAGTCAAACTCGAGGAAATCCCTTTTGGGGATCCGGGTCAGGTCAGTAACCTCGCTTCTGGAGTGCATCCTGATCTTGACTGATCGAAATGTAGTGGATGTTGCGAAGGTCCACGACGACTCCGCGGGATATATCGCGTCGTGCGAGGTAATTCTAGGCTAGCTTGACTACCGTATATTTTACTCATTTTCATGATAGGCGTTCCATGGCAATACTGTGTCGGTGTATACCAAACCGACCAATGCTCCCAAAAGCCAGCTTCGAGGAGTCAATTGGACTCGGCACGTCCTCGAAGATTTCGGTCCTCTCAACAAGGAACACACCGGCTCCATACATTACGTGGTCTGCGCTGACATCGATAACGATGGGGTTGAGGAGCTTCTAGTCGCGTTGATGGGCTCCGATCCACCGTCCTGGGAGAAGACGGGCGTGTGGTGCTACAAACGTGCCGTTCTTCGACATCGTCGCTTTGTATCTAATTAATACTCTCCTCTGACAGCGGTCGACCTCCAGAAAGCCAAATTTTCCAAGAGGAAGCTCAGTGATAATTCAGCCGGTCGCATTGCCATAGCTGATTTCAAGAGCACGGGCGTACTGGTATGATGTCCTTGATATTCTGTTCCACGCTAGTCCCATGACTGACTTCTTTTGCAAGGATTATGCGACTATCTCCTACTCCGTCCCAGGCTACTTCGTATCACCGAACCCATCTATTAACGCTTTTATCAATGCGCCTATCACAGCTGAAAGACTGAACGACGAGGTCCTCTTTCGTGTTCCGCGACCTACTGCGGCACCAGGCATCGACGAGGTTATGTTCCTCGATGTTGCTAGTCGTAAACTTGCACTCGTGGTGGTGCCCCCTCATCAAAAGTATGCGATTGCACAAGGCGATGGAATCAAGGTCATCGCAGGGCGGGGTAGGTTTCGTAACTTGGTCAACATGTCGCACGGGGCTCACGAACCTTCCGTTTAGTGACTTGGACGAATGCGAATGACACAACGCATGAACGTACCATTGCTACTGCACCATTCACAGCAGTATCCACCAAAATCGACGCAAAGGACGGGCATGTCTACACTCAGGCGGAGGGAGCCGTTTTCGTTCTCATGAAACACTCCACCACCTCCGGTGCCCCGCCCTACTCCAACATGAAGCAGCTGGCGGCGCATAACCTCTTTAACAGTCGCTTCCCCAAGGATCTACAACACATGTCATTTCCCTGGGTGAAGGTCGAGGATCGTCCTTGGGCTAATGGCGGTTTCAAGGTGAGCTCCGCACGACTTTCGCTTTCTGCCATCATTGATCAGACTTCCCAGGGCCTAGAATTCTACAATCTGACCGGATTTTATGTCCGCTATGCCGACGACAGCGATGATCTTATCTGCCACATCCAACTGTGGACCGCTGGAGTAGGCGTAAGCGCCGGGTTTCACAACCACACCGACAAGTCGTTCTGCGAAATCCATGCGTGTATAGTGAACGGGACGGGCAAGGGTGGGATGTATTGGGCGACGGTGGAGGACGAACTGTTTGATCCCGCGAAACCGGACGAGGACAAGTACACGGGAATCGCCGTACCAGACATGAGCGAACATGGTCCGCTATGGCGAACGAGCGAGGACGGGCTGCCGCTCCTTCGTTCGAATGATACCGTGAACTATCCATGGCACGGTAAGTCACCACGAAGGTCTTTCTAGACGCCTTGTTGACGAATCATCATATATCAAGCCTGGATTGCGGGCAAATCGCCAACAGCAGGGCAGAAATTCGATGTCTGGCTCGCGTTCGAATTCCCACCTTTCGTCGCCGAAGCCGAGCAAACCGCCAATATGGTGACCTTGAAACCTGGCAAGTATCGTATCTTCAATCCGGCCTCGCAGTTGGAGCTGCAAGTGCAAGGCGGAGAGTCGAAGGACGGTGCACCGGTGGTGGGGCATAAAAAGGGACCTGGATCGCAAGCGGTACATTTCCTCGCTCTCTGTCTCACTTCCGTACCCCACTGACCGGAAAAAATAGTGGGAGATATCTGTCATTCCCGGAACGCGCTTCCAGCTGTTCCATAATGACGTCAGTCGCTCCAATGCCACGGTCGTGTGGCCTCCTACGGCTGGCCAGAAGGTAGTCGGCAGTCGCTCCGCGGCCCGCTTGGACCTCACTTCTGCTTGGGCACTCGCATCCGCTGGTGGAAACACGTATGAGTAAGCAAAGAGCGATCTGCTTAGACATCGCTGGCGATGCTCATTCGTTTTCACTGGTCGCAGGGTCAGGCTCATCGGAACCCACCTCGTTCTGGAGGTTGATGCACATGGCAAAGTTCATGTCAGTGAGCACGATGACGCCCTTTCGTCAAGCTTACTGACGAAGTTTCCTTTAGATCTCGCCGAAGGATCTGGTACCAAGGGAGTCGCAGAAATGGCACTTCGAGGCTGTTTCGTCAACATGAATGTGGGCAAAGTCAGGAATGGTCCTCTGAATGTGCGCCACGAGAAGACGTTTACGTTGGGTACGATTAAACGCTCTAGAACTTTGCCGTCGTCGTATCATGATTCTATGGCACAATGAGGACGCCCATCGTTCTGAGTTTTTGTGTGATCTTTGTTTCACTAAGGCAAGCCACACGACGTCGATGCCGGTCAACCTCGCGCTGAGCCCTTTCGGAGGCGGTTGGCTGAGCGCTACAGAGGCATCACAGATCAAGCTCGAGGATGTACCCCGTACAGTGACGGCCATATCGATGTTTGGTTTTTGCGGTTAGGGTTACAGGACAACCGCAAGCTCTCCAGGACAACCACCACCAGCTGGTGGTGGTTGTCCTCCGGACGCCCGCATTGCCGATCAATGTCATTCTGCCTGAGGGTAGATCACTCGCGCGGGCTGGCTCCCGCTTCATCGCTCATGCCCCGAATCCCACCCACGGGGCTTTCCAACCCTCTCGACCCGCCGTCCTAAGCGCCCTCCTCGTCCGATTCCTCCAACTCCGTCAACTCGCTCTCGTCGCTCTCGTCTCCCTGCCCCTCTCCCTGCCCGCCCGCCACCTGCGCCGGGCCGAACTCGCCCAGATCCACGCTGCCCACCGCCGGAAACCACCCGTACTCTCTCAGACGCACCCTCGCCTCCCCCTCTCCCCCGCGCCCGTCGACGACGACGACGCCCTCAGCCTCGAGCGCCTGACGCTGTCTCCGCGCACCGTCCGTGCCCGGTCCTCTCGACGCGATCGCGCCCGACGCGCTCACGACGCGGTGCCAGGGCACGGGCGGGGTCGTTTGCGGCGATAGGAACTTGAGCGCTGTGAAAACGGTGCATCAGCACACCACCCCTTACCCCTTTTTTTTCTCTCCTTCGGGAACGGAACGCAAGGAGCGGGAGTGAATGTGCTCACCTTGGCCGACGAGTCTCGCATGCCGCGGCATCCCAAGCAGCTTGGCGATATGACCTATAAGAGCACGTTAAGTAAAAGCATCCCCTCCCACCGCACAGAAGGTTGGGAGAGTCCGCAACACGCACCGTAGCTGGTCACCCTCTGGGGTGGTATTCGTCTCACAACATGGTAGACCTATGTACGCCGTCGCTTCATCTTCAATACGCGTTCCGGGGGGAGGTTCTCGCATCAAGATGTATTCACCGCAGCATGGAACTCGGCCGCGTCCATAGTGAGGGTGAGTGAAGAAGGTCAAATGACAAGCGCGTACTTGGTGGCGTTCCAGTTCGCTGCAGGGATTTTCCAACCGGACCTGCGTTCATGTTGCAATAAAAATACAATCCGATTCCGTTCCAAAACCACCAACACGGTGCTATGACAAATCAAGAGCAGGAGCTACTGCCCCACGTATACTAGGATGTGTCACACAAAAAACGCCGGCACGCCTACATATCGGCGTAGTGATATTTCCGTCCATCATCTCACCACGAACAGTCCTCCCTTCCTCTCCTCAATCCACGCGCTTCGGGATGTGCCCGAGCGGGAGCGTGAACCACGAATCGTCTGGCCTCAACAGCTCCGCCATCGCGCAGTAGTACGCGATCGCGGCCGTGAGCAAGCCAAAGCCACCGCCGGCCTTGGTGATCGTCACCGAATTCCTAAATTCGGCTGCAAAGAAGCGTTGTTTATCAGCAAGAAGCGGCCGTAAATAACTTCAAGATGGACACGCACCGATCGCGAGGAGGAGGAAGGTGATGGTGAGGAAGAAGAGCAGGGCGATAAAGCCGACGTTACGCCGAAGAGCGGCAACACTGCCCCATTCAAACGCGCCGATCAGCATTTTTTGCGGACGTTCAGGGACGGGACGTGGAGAAGTGGTGAGCGGACGCACAACATGAGGGCGGTGAAGATGAACCAGCTGGTGAGGAAGATGCCGAGGGCGTTGTGCAGCTCGTTAGGGACCGAGTCGTACGCGGCGACGATGCCCGAACCCGGGATAAGGATCGTGGCGTACGAGAGCCAGAAGGTGCCGTAGGCCGAGAAGGCTGTTGTAACATACGCGGCGTCAGCGACTGCATGTCCATCCACGACGGAGAGGAGGAAACAGGGGGATCATGACGTGGGAACGGAGGCATTTCGGGCGGCGCGAGCACCGGCCCGCGTCGGGTCCGCCAAAAGCGGATCGTCGATTTCCTCGTATGGTATATCGATACTCACCGGTGGCGCCGAATGTGTTGCCGCAGGCAAACTCCCACATGCCTACAATGCGTGCGTATGTGTCAGATAGACCGCCGCTATCGTCGACGGAGGGGGGAATGGCCACGCACCTGCGAGCAGTTGGGCGAGGCCGCCGACAAAGAGCGCCATGCCGACGACGACGTTCGGTTCGGTCACGCCGCGCGTTTGGACGTTGAAGAAGGATAAGACGAGCGTCGTCGACGCGAAGGATGTTAGTCCTCTGAACGATAGAACCCAACAAGTTAGTCGATCAACCGCAGCAGATACATGGCGAAGTGTGCTCACAGAGGACCGGGGTTGCCCAGACGCCTAATGGGCTTATTTCCGATCTGGTTCCATGGGTGGAGGCCGTGGACGTGAGGCACCCCTGCTGCACCGTATGGTGCCTGCGCTCCGTTGGCGTTGGGATCCGCAGCAGCACCGGCAGCACTCTGCTCGTTGTACGCGACGCGTCCTTTCTCGATGTCGGCCATGTTCGTGGGTATGTCTCCTTATTCGATATGGGATGTTTCTATGGGTCGTACGGAGTAGGAGAGAGCGGGCCGACGAACGGGGTGGAGGGGCAAAGGATACACACCGTCCTCTCGTCGAGAAGTGAGTTACCCCGGTTTTATGTGGGGAAGGAGACGTTCAGGCGCTGAATGCCGGCGGAGTCCAAATCCGCGCGCATCTGACCTTCTCGAAGCCGCTGAGTGGACGCCACCCGTCACACATGGGTCACCCGTCTGCCCGTCACAAGATTGCCCTTGTAAGTCCGAGAATGATTGGAACGCGTTGTTTGGTATGGACGGGGCTTGTCGAATCGTCTTGCGTTGTCTCATCGCTGTGTCATATGAGCGTCAGCAACAGGAAATACTCCTGCGCAGAAGTTTACATTCGTGCGGTCACTGATTGGCTTTTCAGTCGGGGATATCCCGGGAGTCGCGGTCAGAGAAAAGCTCGAGCGCCCAAGATCCAGCCTCGGCCTTCCCCAGCCGCATTGCCCCACACAACATCCTATTCTGTGAGAAGTAAGTGTAGCGCGCTGCGATCGCGCGATGCCCGGCCACCGGCGGACTGCAATCATGTTCTTTTCAATCGCTCCTTCTTCTAAGACTGACAATCTGCTTGATTGCAGATCCGGGAAGGCTTCGCGGTCAACGGGCGTGGGCATTTCAGCGGGCGGAGGAGAGCACAACACAACGAGAGTTCGACACATTGAGAGGTGAGGATGCAGACGCATCCATTTCCTATTGTGAGACGCATGATTTCTGTATTGGGCAGACGAGCTGAGAAGACAGAGTGACGTTGATATGACGGGTCTTCGCAATAAATAACGAGATACGAATACAGACAGTGGATGGAGGAAGTTGATAGATAGATAGTGGGTGTCGCAAGGGAGATGGAGACGAGTCAGATAGTAGGAGAGATCCAGATGGAGAGAGAGAGAGATACAAACGCCCAGCGCTAATGATGCATAGTACAACAAAGCGATGAAAGCAGAGAAAAGCAAAGAGAAAGATAGAGAGAAGAAAACAAGAGAGAGGGAAGAGAGAGAGAGAGAAAGAGTGAAGAGGGACGAATATATCGTCCACGAAAGTTCTTCAGAACGGCTGCTTCCGGTAGTGACGGCGGTGTTCATCTTCCTCATCTTCGTCCGCGGAGTCCACAACGGTCGCCTCCGAGTCCGTCGACGAACCCGAGCGCAATCGTCGGGGTACAGGTCTGACAGCCACCCTCACAGTTGGCAGCTCGCCGCACGCGTCGCCGCCGTCCTCCTCGTCATCGCCGACGACCGTCTCCGCATCGGACAAGACCGTAACGTCAGACGTGCCCGTATCCCTTCTTCTCGGCACAGGCCGCACCGTCACGATCTCCTCGAAGTGCTTCTCCGCGCCGATCGCCTTCGCGATCTCCCACAGTTTGGAAAGGCGGCAGGACGGGCAGCATCCGCTCGAAGCGGGGACGGCGCACGGCGGCTGGTCGGTGTGCGACACGGTAGCGTCTTCCGCCGCGAGCAGCGCGCGGACGTGGTCCGTGTCGGGCTTGAGCTCGCCGAGCGTCGGGGCGAATACGTCTCGGAGCGTCTCGCCGTGGACGGTCCAGCTCGCGATGTAGACGAGGCAGGGGGCCTAAGGATAATAGAGAGCAGAGGATCAGCACCAGAAGAAGAATCGATTTCTGAGAAGAGGATCGCGTACGTCGCAGTGCGGGAGACGCTCGAGAAGAGTTTCTTCAATTACGGCCGGGTGCCACGACCCTTGATGCTTGGATGCCCAGGCGACCTGTCCGACCTACGAACCAGAACCGAGTCAGCATTCCCGGCTGGCCCGACTAGCGAGACCACACAGTACTCACGGAGAAGATATAAGGCCAAGGCTGGCGCGCGCGCACGGGGTGAGCCAGACACGCCTCCCGCCCAAGCGTCAACGGGATCTCTTCTTCAGGCTCAGGCTCTTCCTCGACCTTGGCTTCGGCTTCGGCTTGATCCTCCGCCTCGGCCTGCGCCCAGTCGACCCAGAGGTGCGCCTGCGCGAGCAGATCGCGCGTGTGCGCGTCGTCCGGCTTGAGCGTCCCGAGCGCGGGCGCGAACTCGGCGCGGAGCGCGACGCCGTCCCGGTCGCGCCACTCGACGGTGTAATACGCCAGCTCGCGCTTCGCCTTCGTCTTCGTCTGCTCCTTCTCCTGCCGCTTCGGTCTCAGCCGCAGCTTGTGCTGTTTGCCGTCCCAGGGCAGACGATCGACGTGGAACGCGGCGCGCCAGCTGCCCCTCACCTATAATCAAACAATCCAATCATCAGCTTTCCTACTTCGCCGAGAAGGAGTTGCCGAAGGGGGGATTGGCCACGCGCGTACCTCGCCCGCGAACCCGTCGTCGTACTCGCGCCGGACGACGGCGCCGTCGCCGACGACCGTCCCGCGCCTCCACACGGCGCCGAAGGTGTACGCCCAAACTTTATCCCCCGGACGGAACGCGTACGGCCACGGTTGGCGCCAGCTCTCGGGCCGCGCCGCGCGTGGATCGCCGAGCGCGAGCGTCGGAAGCGCGATCGCCAGCAGACCATCGCGCACCGTCGTCTTCGCCTTCCTGTCCTCGACCTTGTCGTTGCCGTGACGGAGCTTGGCCGCGAGCGCGGAGAAGGGTTTGGTGGTAGTGGGTATCATCGTGGATCGTGGTCGCTGGAAAGAGAATATACAACAGTGGTTAGAACGAAAAAGAGTACGGAGGCGTCGCGGGGTATGTGGTTGTTATGTGCAGGTGGACGGCAAGAAATGGGCAGGCAGGGAGGGGCCGAGTCAGGAAAGTCGACGAGAAAGACTCGAACTCTCGAGGGGAGAGAGGGAAGAGGGAGGTGCAACGAGCGCGGGGAAACAACGGCCGTGGCGAGAGGCCTTCTTATGGTGGAGCCTGTCATTCGTGCAAGGCCACGAAAGTGCGATATCGTGCCCGAGGTGGGCGCGCCAGAAGGAAGAAGGGGGCGTGGTCCGGTGTTGTGGCAGGGGGCTTCAAGGGCCTTCGCTTAACAGACAATGCCACAAGACAAGGCCCGTCACGGCCGGGCCTTGTCCGATCTGACCTGGATTATCCGCACCTGGGGCATTGTCTTGTAGGATTGCATTGTCGGAGCAGAAGTTCGCGTCGATGAATGGCGTTGCATAATGAAGAAGAAAGTACTGAAAACACCGGTCGGGTCACCCATACGTATAGCACTAAGCCACTCGCGGACCTGGCGAAAACCGATAAGCCACCCGTGGGCACGCCATGAAAGAACCCAAAAGAAGCCCTCACCTTCTCCACCCTCCCTCGCCCACACGCTCCAAGTTTCGAGTAAATGATTAATCACGGAAACTCGATGTGGTGCCCCTCTGTCCACCGGCGGGCCACCGACGAGTCGCCGACCAACCGCATCTCGACCTCCTCGAACACGCTCACCCTTTTCACGACCGCGAACCCCATCTTCTCGAACAGCCGCACGCTGGCCTCGTTCGTCTCCCCGATCCGGACCGTCAGCGCGCGCGCGGGTACGGGTAGCGGAGCAGGGGAGGAACGCGAAGTGGCGTAGGCGAACATGAGCTGCAGCGCCTCGCGGGCGCGTCCGGAGCGGCGGTACGCGCGTTCTGACCGATGACTAGGGTTGAGAATCGGATTGGACGAAGACGGCGCGCGGGAGCGGGGAAGAGAGAGAAAGAGTGAGTGAGCGAGAAAGAAATCAACGAACCGGCGATCATGATCTCCACCTCGGCCTCATACTCATCGTCGTCCGCCGGATCTCCGTTCAGAAAGAGATTCACGTCCCCGATCATGGGCATCGCCTTGATCTCGTCCACGGACGGAGCGTCCGAGTTCGGCGCCGCAGGTTCGCGAGCGAGTATGATGAATGTCAGCTCTTGACCCAAAAAAACGATGTCAGTCATACTCTGCGCGGGAGATGAGCGAGAAATAGAGGACTACCCACTGTCTTCGTCCTCCTGCCATTTTCCTATTTATTTTTTCCGCACATCTTCAGCGTCACACAGGCACGAAGCCGAAGACGGCAGAAAGGGAGGCCTCACGCTGCATCTCGTACTCCTCCTCGATCGTAAGCGGCTCGCTCGCCGTCAGCTCTCTCAACTCGGGGTCGGCCATCCACTCGTGATATCTCTGTCCTGTTTCGCGTCACGATGGGTTGTTTTCACGGTGATATACGCGTATGATGAACGAACCGCGACATGTTCGCGTCTTTAGAAAATACAAAAGTGACGTTGTAAAGATGGTCCACGATGTCGAGAGCGGAAAAAGTAGCGTTACCTGTACGGGACCAGGACGACGCTCTCCCCGACGATAGCAGTGCGGTCGTTGGCTTTCATGTTCCTTCGCTATGGTAGCAAGTATCGGAGCCAGCTGACGGCGGGAGAGGCTCAGAGTCGGGAAGCCGCGCTCGGAGATTCGCGGCCGATCGCTTTGGTCAGGCTCGCGGTAGCTTCGACTTCATCCCGTCTCACCGCGCGCTTTGTCTCCACTCCAACTACTGAAACTGTGGATGCATCGTATACAATTGGCGAAATTGGCGAGAGGGAGAAAGATGATACAAAGAGACGGAGGAGGTATATAAGTAATACAAAGGACATTTTTGTTTCATCCAGCCCGATCCGCAAAGGCAAAAAAAACAAAACAGATCAAAATGCACGAAAATCGTCATCCCAACGGACACAAACGACCCTTCCTTCAGATCTTGTGCCCGAGGTTGACGTGGACCGCCTTCACGTTCGTATAATTCGCCAACGCGTACTCGCCCAACTCGCGGCCGATACCCGACTGCTTGAAGCCGCCGAACGGGATCTGGGGGTGCAGCATGTTCGCGCAGTTGACCCACGTCGTGCCGGCGTGCAACCGGTGGGCGACGGACAGCGCGCGGGTGACGTCGCGGGAGAAGACGGCGGCGGCGAGGCCGTAGACGGTCTCGTTGGCCTGGCGGATGACGTCTTCGTCGTCGTGGAACTTGATGACGACGCCGACGGGGCCGAAGATCTCCTCCTGGACGATCTTCATGTCCGGCCGGGTGTCGGTGAAGATGGTGGGCTCGATGAAGTAGCCCTCGTTGCCGACGCGTTTGCCGCCGAGGGTGACGGTCGCGCCTTGTTCCTTGCCCGAGTCGATATAGGACATGATGCGCTAAAGGTGAAGAGGATGTTAGTAAAAAGAGGGGGGAGGGGGAGGGGGAAGACGCACGTCGTATTGCTGCTGCGAGACCTGCGGGCCCTGGTACGAGTCGTGCTCGAAGGGGTCGCCGACCTTGATCGACTTTGTCTTGGCGACGAACCGCTTCAGGAACTCGTCGTAGATCTTCTCGTGCACGAAGATACGCGAGCCGGCGCAGCACGCCTGGCCGTGGTTCCAGCTGCGTCGCAAGGTAAGCGTGATTAAAGAGAGAGAAAAGGGACGGTGACGAGGACTGACAAGATACCGTGCGCGGCCCAGTTGACGGCCTCATCCAAATCGGCGTCGTCGAAGATCACGTTCGGGCTCTTACCGCCGAGCTCGAGCGTGACGTTCTTGAGGTTCGTGCGCGCGGCGGCCTCCATGATCTTCCTGCCGACGAGCGTCGAGCCCGTGAACGCGATCTTGTCGATGTCGAGGTGCTCGGCGATGGTCTGGCCGACGTCCTGGCCGTATCCGTTGACGATGTTGACGACGCCGGGGGGGAAGCCGGCCTCGTTGATGAGGGTGGTCATGTAGAGCGCGGTGAGGGGCGTGAACTCGGACGGCTTGAGGACGATGGTGTTGCCGGTGGCGAGCGCCGGGCCGAGCTTCCAGGAGAGCATGAGGACTGCGGGGGGGTGTGCATGATGTCAGAAGAAGGGCGGGGTAAGGGAAGAGAAGAGAAGAGAAGCAGCGCACGCGGGAAGTTCCAGGGGATGATCTGGCCCACGACGCCGACCGGTTCGTGGCGCGTGTAGCCGAGCTTGTCGTCGGTCGTCTGTGGGACGGGCGCATTTAGTCATCTCGTCGCCCGGAGAGGCAGCCGGCTCACCTCGATCGTCTGCCCGTGGTTCTTGTCCGCCCAGCCGGCGTAGTACCGGATCGTGTTCGTCGCGAACGCGACGTCGGTGCCCTTCGCCCAGCCGAAGGTCTTGCCGTTGTCGAGCGCCTCGAGCGCCGCGAGCCGGTCCGAGTGCTGCTCCATCAGCTCGGCGAGCTTGAATAGCAGGTGCGAGCGCTCGAAGCCGGGCGTCTTCGTGCCCCAGACGGTCTCGAACGCCTTGCGCGCGGCGGCGACGGCCTTGTCGACGTCCTTGGGCGAGCCTAAGGAGACCTGGACGACGGTCTTGCCGGTCGCTGTAATAATAGTAGCGTGGTGTTAGAAATGGGAGGGGTGTGAGAGGGTGCGGGAATGGGAGCGTACTGGGGTTGATAACGCTGCAGACGCGCTTTGTTAGAGACGCATGGATGGACTGCAGCACTGCGATGCGCTCACTCGATCGTTTTGCCATCCGATCCGTCCACCCACTTGCCATCGATGAAGAGGCCGGTGTTAAACTCGGCCTTGCCCTTGAAGACGGCGGTGTCAAACTCTTGGGTGTGGATCTTGGGCATGACGACGAATGGACGGGTGACGAATGAGAGAGAGGGGATGGGAGAGAGGATGGGATACGGTGAGCTGCGCAAGTCACCTGGAGATTATATACGCGCGAGGGAGAGGGTGCGTACGCGTGAGCGCAATCGTAATCATGATTCGGAGACGAGGGGGGTGGGGCGGTCGCGGTTGGTCACCAGGTCCGGGGTGGGAAGGCCAACCCCGCATTCCCAACCCCTTCCCCGGCCCGATCCCCCCGCACTTAATTGCCTTGCGCTGATTAGATCCCCGCTATCTCTGTAACCCGCATCAGCGCCGGCGCGACGCTAAAACCCTGGCCGAGCTGGCATCCCCCCTCCACCCTCTCGCCCCTTGACTCAGCGCTGCTACCAACGGTGATCGCGCAACGTCGACGATTGTGGGGTACGCTAGAGTTTTTCGCGACTCCGGGGTTCCTTGGCGCTATCTTTGCGATCGGAGAACTCTGGCCGTATTTGGGTATGAGAAGGGATACCCATGACCATTCCGCGCAATAGCTTCACCCGGGACCCTCCATCGCTCGAGCTGACGCGGCGCTCCGGTATCAGCCTACCCCCATCGGACGCACGGCAGAGGTCTGGAATCACGTCGATGGTCCGCGATTTTGAATCTGATAGCGTTTCGTGACACATGCACGGCCGCTCCGAGAACGCTTTTTCCGCAAGACTATAGTACAGGATCTGTCGGACTTGAACGCGCTCGATGGAAGACAAAATAAACCCCGCGGGGTGTGGAGCTAATGGCTTTGGAATTCGATAATTTCGTGCTGCGTACAAGACAGCGGGTCGCCGAAGGAGCTGCAAGGGGCGCGCGACGGGATCGCCGCGTTGCTCCGCATCACCCTTTCAGAAGCCAACGGACGATTATCCTATCGTTTTCTCTTGGGTGTTCCTCTCGTCTTTTCCCCCGACTTCCCGCATCGGAGGTGGCCGGAACGCGGATCCGGTTTCGAATGGGCCAATCGTTCGCCTGGGGCTTTTTGGCAAGAATCGAACGCCCGTATCAGCACCTTCCCCCCCGGTTCTGGGCTCCATAATCACCTTCTTTTCCCCTTCGGTTGAGGGCGATTTTTGTCGCGTGAGTAATTGAGTGCTTGTGGAAGGACGGGACGGTCTTGGTAGCGAATCAGCGAACCCATGCAGCCCTCGATCAATCGGCCGGCGAGTTCAGGGGGCGGCCGTTCTCTCATGCCCGCAATTCACCAAGAACGTCGCGCGGGGGTAATCAGGGGATCGAAACGTGCTCGGCTATCCTCGATATACGCTCGACTCGGGAGACCGACGCTCGTTCGACCTTTTCCCCCCCTCTATTGCAGGCCAGGTCTCCAGGTCTCCAGTTTGACTGCGATGCGTGCCGTGCCGTGCGCTTTTTGTCATCGGCCTCCGCTTCCCGGTTCCTTCCCCGCATCGACGCAACTGCGGGGGTGCCCGGAACATGCATGCCAATGGAGTGCTATTGATTTGGCTATGATATTTGATCGAGCTTCGAGCCCCCGTCAAAGATAAGTAAACGCGCTGCACATCGATCACGAAGCCCGTTGTTGTATGACATCGGTCTGTTGTTCGAGCTTGGACATATAAAAAGCGACATCCCCACTCGAGGAGGTTGCCGATAGGATGTCTCTGCAGAATCCAGATGAACGAATCTTCGCTCGCCGCTGATGATCTTATCTCACGCCCCCCGTGGATCCATCGTATTCGTGAGAAATTGCATGAGAGTGACCACCGTCAGTCCGCGCATTCGCACGATCAGAACAGCTGCATTCTCACGGTAAGAAACGCTCCGACGCGCGATCGCGGACGGCGTGTTTGCCCCCCCTGCGGCTAAGTTTTTGCTCGCCATCGCCAACGACGAACGAACGAGTCAAAGCACCGCACCGAGATGGCCTCCTGCCCGCACCTCGCCGACCTCTCCCGCCTACAACCCCCGCGCCTCTCCCAGTCCGTCCACCGCGAAGAGTGCACCCAATGCTTCGACAACCAGGTGCGCGCGCCACACCGTACCCCTCCACGCCCTTTTCTCTGACGATCGCCGATGTCGAACGAAATGTCCAGGACGACCCGCTCGGGATAGACGTCTGCCTCGCCTGCTTCAACGGCGGCTGCCTCTCCAGCGCGCGGCACCACGCCCGCACGCACGCGCACAAGACCGGGCACGTCTTCGCGCTCAACGTCAAGCGCAAGCTCAAGCCGTCCGCCAACCGCGTACGTGTCCACCTTTCCCCTTCCTCATTTCCCATCCACTTGGGTCAGAGCTGAAAGAAACGTGGATGTATGCGCGAATCAGGTCGAGGACGAGGAGCCACCGTCGAAGATGACCAAGCTCGCGATCGTCGAAGAGCGCGAGGAGGACAAGTACGACCGGCTCACGTCCCTCAAGTGCTGGAAATGCGACCCGGATAACGGCTTGGAGCTCGGGCCCGACGTCACCGCTCAGGTGCCCTTCATCTCATAACCCATCAGCGCCGAGTGAGTGACCATATATGCGCGATGTTGCCAGGCCAAACCGCTCGTCGACGGCGTACTGTCCGCGATGTCGTCCGCGCGCCAGTCAGAAGTCAAAGCTTGGGAAGAAGAGATCCTCCCCTGCGAACACACCCTCACCCTCGAGCAACAAGCAACCGGTCCCATCGAAGCTTCTGGTACGCTCCATCTCCCCTCCCCCGTCCTCCTTTCTCTTCCACTCAATTTTAACTTCCAACCTTGAAACGACGGCAGGCCTCGCGCATTGCTCCCAATGCGACCTGAAAGAAAACCTCTGGCTCTGCCTCACCTGCGGCTCCCTCGGCTGCGGCCGACAACAGTTCGGCGGCATCGGCGGGCACGGGCACGGCCTCCGCCACTACGAGCAGACCCGGCACCCCGTCTCCGTCAAGCTCGGGACGATCACGCCCGAAGGCGGCGCCGGTACGCGCCCCTCTCTCCCTCCATACTTCATCGGTCTCTGAAACGTGATATTTCTTGTTTCATGCAAGATATATACTGCTACGCGTGCGACGACGCGAAGCAGGACCCGTCCCTCGCCGCGCACCTCGCCTCGTTCGGGATCAACGTCGCGGCGCAGACGAAGACGGAAAAGAGCATGACCGAGCTCGTACGTCCCCTTCTGTTCTCTCTCTCTACACGTTCAGTCCCTTGAACCATTCCTTTTTTTGTTATCATGCGCTAGCAAATCGAGCACAACCTCAAATACGACTTTTCGCTCACGGACGAATCGGGCAAGGCGCTCGAGCCCGTGTTCGGCCCCGGCCTCACCGGTCTATCCAACCTCGGCAACAGGTGCGCGCCCTCGTATTTTCCCCGTGCCTTTAACTCGTGCTGACCCCCCATGGACGAACAGCTGCTACATGGCCTCCGTCCTTCAAACCGTCTTCGCCCTGCCCGCCTTCCGCGAGTTCTATTACCCGACGACGGGTGCGGGATCCAAGCCCGAAGACCACTGGCGGGCGTGCACCGCGCCGCTCCCCGCCGACTGCGTCGACTGCCAGATGATCAAGCTCGCCGACGGCCTCCTCTCCGGGCGCTACTCGCACGCGCGCCATTCCCCCTCCCGTACGTCTCTCACCCACCGCCTCCCTCGTGCCCTCTCCTCGCGCCGTATCCGATCCTCGCTAAGACCCGCCTGTTTTGGATTTTGTTTCTTTTTTTTAGACCCGCAGAGGACGAACCCGCTCGCACACGAGTCGCCGACGCCCGTGTTCCAGGAAGGCGTCCGGCCGAGCACGTTCAAGGCGCTCGTCGGCAAAGGCCACGAAGAGTTCGCGACGATGCGTCAGCAGGACGCCGAGGAGTTCTTCGCGCACCTCCTCACCGTCCTCCGCCGCCATTTCCACTCCAGAGGTTCGTCGTCCCCTCCCTCTCTCGCTTCCTGCCATCATCACCTCATCCTCGCATGAACGCTCACTATGTTCTGTGTGTGGGGGGTGGTCATTTTAGGTTTACCGAAGGACGCGGCGCCGACGGAGGTGTTCGCGTTTGGGATCGAGCAGCGGCTGCAGTGCGCCGAGTGCCGCCGCGTTCGGTACCGCGTCGACGCCGCCGACGCCGCGAGCGTGCCCGTGCCCGCGCGCGAGAAGGGGAAGGACGACGAGGGCCGGACGCTGTACGAGGAGGTGAGACTCGAGGAGTGCCTCGAGATCTTGATGGGCAGCGAGGCGCTCGAGTACGCGTGCCCCGCGTGCGCGAAGAGCGTGATCGCCACCAAGTGAGCGTGCCCCCCCTTTGCGCTCGTTCTCGAGAGCTGGGCGAGAAGCTGACGGGCGCGTGGTGTTGTGTGTGAATAAAGGCAGAGCCGGTTCGCGACGTTCCCGGAGGTGCTCGTGGTCCACGCGCGCAAGTTCCAGCTGGTGAACTGGGTGCCGTCCAAGCTCGGTACGTCATCCACGCTTTGGGAGCCCCTTTTTCGTGAAATTTATCGCCGGTGCTTGGCAGATATCCCTGTCATCTTGCCTCCGAACGATGAACTGTCCTTGGACGCGTATCTGGGATGCGGACTCCAACCTGGCGAAGAAGCCCTACCTGAAGATACCGCGGGTACGTCCTCCCTACCTCATCACGGTCCCCATCGCTCACGTCCTCCCCAGCCGCTCCTGGCCTGCCGCAGTTCAACGAAGCCGCGATGGCCCAGCTCGAGGCAATGGGCTTCCCCACGATCCGGTGCCAAAAGGCGCTCCTCGCGACGGGCAACTCGGACCCGGAGGCGGCCATGGAGTGGCTCTTCGCGCACATGGAGGATCCAGGTACGATCGAGCTTCGTCGCGAGCGAATCGTTCCTCGGCTGAGAACGCTTACGATATACCACAGATATCGACGCGCCCATCCAAACCTCCGCTGCGCCGTCGGGCCCGGAACCGTCGGCCGAGCAGGTGTCGATGCTCGCCGACATGGGCTTCACGGCCTCGCAAGCGCGCAAAGCTCTCCGCGAAACGGTAACCTCCGCTCTCGTCCGGCTTGTGCGGTCCCTTCTCACACCATTACGTTGTCGCTAGGGCGGGAACCCCGAACGCGCGGTCGAATGGCTCTTCTCGCACCCGGACGACACCGGCGACGACGGCCCCGCCCCCGCTACGGCGTCGTCCGCCCCCGCTCAGCCGGCCGTCGGGGGCACCTCCGTCCTGCCCGCGCGCTACCGGCTCAAGGCCTTCATCTCGCACAAGGGCCCGAGCGTGCACTCGGGTCACTACGTCGCACACATCCTCACGGAGCAGGCCGGCTGGGTCCTCTTCAACGACGAGAAGGTGGTCAAGGCCGACGAGGAGAGCGTGCGCGAGCTCAAGAAGCTGGCGTATCTGTACGTGTTCGAGAAGATCTGAAGCCCAAGAACAGACAAAGATATTATCCAATGTACATTACACTAAACGCAAGTCAGTTGGCTACCCACGGGACATGTACAGTGCACAGTCAATGCGAAGTGAGAACATTTGAAGCAAGGGAAGATATGGGATACAAATGAGTAACTTAGTATCAGACGGTAGCAGACGGGCCGTCGACCGGTTTGTTTACGGCAGCCGCCAGCGCGCTGGCGATGACGTTTCCCAACGTGCCCTCCGGCAGAACCGAACCCGACGACTCCCTGGAGGCGGGTGTGGTTTCGATGCTGTCCGCCGGCGGGAGATGGTTTTCAGGGTCGAACTCCACGTCCGTCTCGCCCTCCGCATCTCTATCGGTCTCGGATATCACAGTGAGTGGAGACTCGGAGCGCTGCGGGTCGTATCGCGGTTCGTGCGGGTCGGGGACGAGGGACAAGCGCGGGACGGGGTTTCGCGTGCGCCAGCGTAGGGCTGCAGAATTCCCGACAAAAAGCCGTCGTCGGGTGGTCTGCTGGAGGTCATCCCCGGGTTTGTGAGTAAGGGAGTCGGAAGGATTTTCATCGACAAGTGGGAGTACACGCCAACCGGGTAGAGGGGAGCCTATGAACAAGCGTTTGGAACCTCGTGCTTTTCGCTTCGTCCTGAGATCGATGCCAGGAACGATTACAGTGTTGTTCAGTGCCACGATGCCCGTACCAGCGCGTTGCCCCGATGTCAGGTACACGGTGCCCCACGACATTCCTGGTTCCGGATAGGCTACGATCGGGGCGATCTCCGCATCCTCTGGACCAAAGGCTTCGTCGTCTGATTCATATTCCCCAATTGACGAGGGTGTCACGCGCTTGCGGCGCTGTGTGCCACATGCGGGGGCTTTCTCGCTTCGTTTCGGTTGTTTGGGTTTCTTAGTGCCTTTGATCGCGGGATCCCTTGATCGCGGGCCGATGTATCGTTCGCCTCGCGCTCGAGTGTGGTGGGTGCAATTGCACACTCCCTCGCACGACGGGCAGACCCAATGCCTGAGCGAGGCATCGAAGACGATATGGGGATATCTGTCGTTGACATGGGCTTAGGAGAAGCGGAAGGGGCAAGCCCGAAAGGTTGCTCACCGATTATCAATGCAACGAACACAGAAAAGGAGTTTGCAGGGGTATCTTGCACAAGACATCTTGGGATATCGGGTTTTGCGGCGGCACTGGTGGCAGAATGACTCCTCGCCGGTCTCTGGTTGCTTCGTGCGAGCGGCTGTCTTAGTGAAGTCCGGCAACGGAAACGAGCGCACGGACACACTGCGCACACTAGCTTCCCTGAGCGTGCTTGAGCTCGCCACGTCGATCGATCGTAGGTCAACAGCGGATTTCGCCTTCGGCTGCTTCAGCTTCATGTTGACCTTCGGCAGTTGACTAGGTCCGCTCCTATTATCCGCGAACGTGATGCTGGCCTCAGACCCCCAACGCTGCTTAGGAATGCGTCCGCGAGCGGATTTCCTCCGCGGTGGCGAAGCTTGATCGATCGGAGATTTGTCCGCCGGTCGTGGCTCGGCACCGTACTCCGACGCAGAAGAATCTGTGCTGGAATTACCTCCGTCGGAGTGGTACGCCTCGTCGTCGCTGTGTGGATGATACTGTTGTTCCTGATATGGAAGGACGAATGAATGAGAGAATGATGTCGAAGGCGACTGAATCAGAACCAAGTCATCGACCTCCTTCGCCGGCAAAGAAACCGGAGGCGGCCCGCCGAGAAGGGAAGGGTCGACAGTGCCCGTGTAAATGGCAGAAGGCGCGATCGACGAGTAAGCAGACGTCGAAGGATGGGAGAGGGAATGCGAATCAAGTTGGGGGAGGGAAACGGCGGACCCTCCGTCAATCCTGTTAGTCTCCATAAAATGCTGGAAGATGTCAATGTTGCGCGTCATGCCATTCATGTTGTCGGTCTGACTGATACCCGCGGCAGAAAGGGACTGCATCGCATCGTTCTCCGCACCAGGCATGGCCGCGACCGAGTACAACCAGTCGTCGTGCTGGGGGAGAGCCGCGTGCCCTAACATCACGAAAGACGCACCCCCCTCCGTTGTTGACTGAAAGGACGGCATCCGAAATGGCGAGAGTTCCGGCCGATGCACGTCGAAATCGGGCTCCGGCTCTGGAGGAGGAGGCTCAACCGGTGCAACCACGTCCTGCTGCAGCTGCGAGCGCAATCTGCAGCTCACCATAACGTTGGCTTTTTCGACATGCTTCAAATACGCTTCAAGATCTTCCAGATGGCCAGCACCGAGAGTAGTATTGGTGTCATCGGCGATATCCATGAGACGGATAGTGCGATCCACGGAAAACTTGAGGGCTCGCGAACTATCCGTAGCGTCCTCGAAAGGTTTTATCGGGATCTCCTCGAGGACCTCGAACCCGTCAAGATCCGAGGAATCGCTCAGAGAATAGGGCTGACCAGCTCTGTCTGCGTCGTAGCGAGGAGTGGTAGGAATCTGGCTTTGACCACGCGAGGCGGAGTCATACACCCCATCTTCATCGCAATTCTCGTTGGAAGCAGTCGCGGCGGCGTTGTTCGCAGCTTCCTCCAGCAAAGCGCCAGGAGTCGCGGAGGAGACGGGAGTAAGAGCAGACGTGAAATCATCAATAGATGAAGCCGAGGACGCAACAGGGTCAGCCTCATCCAGTAAAATCGGTGCGCTCTTCGACCCGTCGCCGTTGCGAGCTTTCCTGGGGACAGGATTCTCGACGAACTCGATCTCGGGACTGCTCTGACGCGCCGAATCCTCGTCGTCCACCTTCCGCCGCTTCTGTCGTGCACGTGTCCCGTTGCGGCTGTCAACGGCCGATTGACGCCGTTTCGCCGTGCGCGAAGAGCCTTGCGCTGTTGGCTTGGGCGGCTGCGCCGTTTTGCGCTTATGGGCGCGCGATATAGATGGGACCCATTCGTCGTCCGCGTCATCCTGCTGTCGCAGATTGCGGAAAGTTGGGTCGTCTGCGCCGTAGTCATCCGGGTGAGTCGCCCACGTCTTGGCACGTTCTAACGCAAGACGCGGCAGCCTCCATTCGTAGTCATACCGTGTTTTTCCCCGTGGAAAGGGGGGTATGAGTACGAATGGCTTGGACCGTCGATGGCGGCGAGGACGTAGAGCTGGAAGAAGTTCGTCTTCGGAGGGGACAATCTCCACTGAAGATGATTCGGGTGAGCAGGAAGGGAGGAATAACGGTTCTGGGTTTCGGTGAATGGGGCGCGCCGGGGAGGAGGTAATGGGAATTTCGGGTGAGTTTGTTCGATGCCGGGACTGGAAGAAGGCATGAGCACTGATAACATGGGTAGGCGATGGATCTGACCTCTAGCTCGTTGTATACAGAGGTAAAAGAAACATCCGCCGACAGGTCGTATTGGCCCCGGTTGGATTCAGGGGTTTCTACGGTGGCATCCTCGTCCATTGCTGCCGGGGTCCGAGGGTGTTCCTCTGCTCGATCGTCGTCTTGGTCTTCACTCGAGAGTGAACCATCAAAGAGCCCAGAATCGATATCACTTTTAGGAGGCGAAACGCGTTCAGCTTGGTGTGTGTACTGGAGCAGATGTTCGCGTCAGCCGCACATTCCAAGAGCTAACGACTTGCTGAGTTTTCCGGGGATCTGGGCCCTTGGTGGCTTTCGTGGGTCGTTGATAAAGATACCACGTCGTCTGTATTTGACCCAGATGGCATGATGTGCGAGGCCATCGGTTCCTACCAAAAAAAGGTGAGGTCAAAAGCGAAAAATTATGGCGTATACACTCGCATACCTCGACATAATTCTGCCACGACCTGTTCTGCATCATCTTTGCCGACCCCCAAGCCACCGTCCTAGATCGCGTAGTAGCATTGTGCACGCTATATGCCCCGGGAGGGGTGATCGGCGGATGGGTCGGTATGATCGTCAAATCTCCGAACGAGCCGCCCTGGCTGCCGTCCCAGTTGGCAAGAGAGGAGCTAGCATGAGACATTGATATTGGCTCGGCGGCGACGCATGTGCAGCATTCGAGACAATTGGAGGTCGACGTCCGAAACAACGAACACGACGAAAAGAGCGGCGACGTCGCATTATTGGCCGCGGGGCCGGTAACCGTTTAGCGATTTGACACGTGACCGTCGCGTGCTTTGTGTGTTTTCTCCTTCTTTGGCAATTCCCGCCACCCCTGCCATCGTTACCCACAGCAGCGTGCCCTTCTTAGGTTAGCTTCCGTCCCCCTGATGCGCATAAGATAAGTTGGCGAAGATGAAGATGGAACCGATCTGATTGCGCTTCTGGCTTGATCGAACGAGATATGCTATGCAGGGCAACCTCTACAGCTTCTCGCGCCCCTTGAGGAGGGCTTCGAGATCGACGAGGGAGTCAACTACGACATCTACTTCCCCGCCATCCGCTTTCGCCTTAACAGTGTCTCTCAGGCCGACATCCTCGCTGGTCCTGCGAACATAAATCGTCTTGTATCCGTGACTCGCTGCCGCGCGCAGGTCGTAGATATGCGCGGCGACCAACGCAACCTTGCTGGGAGGCAGCATAAGATACTTGGCCGCTCCGAGGTACGTCTGCGGATCTCTGAACTCCGGTATAACGTGAGACATTCATTCAGGCAATGTAGGGAAGTCCTTACGGCTTGTACGATCCGAGCATCTCGCTCGAGAAGACGACATCCCATGGCAAGTCTGCGTGCTTGGCCTGGCGGGCAACGCACGCTCGTTAATCAGCCCCACCTCTCGCACAACGGCGTTACATTACCATGTCAACGAGCAACCTGACGTTCCCATTGGATAGAGTTCCGATGACGAACCTCTTCTTTAGCTCATATAGCCCTTTCGATGAATCTGGCCAACCTGTCCTCAGCGCAGGTCAACCTCCTGCATACTGAAGTCTTTCCGCATACGTACCGTCTATGAGGTGCCAGGAATATGTGAGAGTAGCGCGATCCTCTTCGTTAAATACTTTGGCCACATGACCCCATCGAGGGTTGGCCAGGATCTCTTCCAGGAGCTACCGTTTCGTTGTTCACTGAGTACTCGCAGAAAGATGGAGGAAGGCCGAACTTGACGATGCATTTCGTCTACATTCAAGGAGACATTCTTCGTCTTGGCATATTCCTTGCTGTTAGACGTTAATCGTTGAACGTTTCTAGAAGCGTGTGTGACACGTACGTGCTCCTCATGTAGCCCTCCCGCCACTCCACCGTGAAGGCAGTCCAATCTAGCAGTTGCGGTAAGTGATAGCATGCCAGTTAAGTGATCAGGAGACAACCTTCATCTGCATGAAAGCCCAGTTGTTGGGCTTTGGACTCGAGTGCGCGGGTTACGCTGCCCTTCCAGTCGACAACGGTACCGAAGACGTCGAATAGCAATGCCTCTACACCTTCCAGGTTGTCCGCCATGGTGATCTCACGCAAATGGTCGTAGGAGAGATAAGACGAGAGAAGCTTGCGGTATGCATAATCAGGTGCTGCAGTGACGAGCCCGGGACTCCGTCATGCAGCTACAGGTTCGTGTGTTCGCATCGGTCATGCTGGGACCAGCCACCGGCTTCCCAGGACTGACCCTCTATCCTCCTCTGCTTCGCTTCAGACGACACTCGTGGACGTCCCCCGCAAATTTCATATGTATGCTGCGCAAAGTTGCGGCGAGGAAAGAAACAGCTTTGCGGTCGCGTGGGAATCGACCGGCGGCATATACACACGTGCTGACCTAACCACGACGGACGAACTGCTTGAAACCAGGCCTGATTACTTACTCGTACATCTGTGTCATATTCAGGCATGGGCGCGGTTATAGGCGACCATGTTGCACCGTGAAAGCTATGGACATACGGCTACCATAATGTGCGACGTACAACTCATCCTAACGTTCGACTCGATGAATGAGGGCGTCGTAGGGACTATCACGGACATGGCATAGATGGCAGAGGTGCGCCTACCTGCAGGCACAGACGCTCACTACGCTTCAAACAATTCTCACTATGGAACCTTCCAGGCCGCAAAAGCGGATCGGGATCCTTGGCAGCAGCTGGCTGAACTAACATTAAAATTTGCTCTTGCTTCGTTCGCTCTCTCGATGACTGTAGCTCTGAGGACCATAGAATGGATCCTCAGATACGCGATGCTGTTATCGTTAGGCTCACTTTGAACTATCCATGGGTTCAGCGTCCGTTCCCGTGGCCTCGACGAGACGCCTGAAGATAACAGTTGGACATCGCTTTGCACCGCCGCTTTGGAGCACGGACGGACATACTTATACCGTTTCGTCAGGGCATTGCACCTGTGAATCCTTCCACAGCTCTAACGAACAGGACAAACTCGTTCACTATCTTCGTCCTTCCAGTCAGCGGTATCAGGAGTCGACCATATGGCAGATGTTCGTGGGCCGTGGATGCATACGATAAGACGGCTATATTTCTTTCCCCACAATCATAAGTCAGAGAATATTCGAGTCGGGTTCGGGTATCATGCAACAGACGAAGCCGGAGAAGATCATTCCACGACTCCTCCAGTGAATACAAGGGGAATCGGAGACGCTGGTCGGTCAAGAGGAAGCTAGAAGCCAACCGTCTTGAAAGGGGCTTTACACATGTTTCACTGCAATGAGCATTGAATGATGTGGCCAATGCTTGGGTGGTGTCGTCTCGTAGCCTCATGTTCAGGCACTGTGTTTTCCCGGTGTGGCGACTTCTTTGAGCTTCCATTGCGCACACTGATATTTGGTCCGTCACTCAGCGCTCAGCAACAAAAGCGGAGCTCGTGCGCATACGCCAAGCAATCCGGCGATTCGCGGTCTGGTCCCCGGCGTTGCCATGTGCCGACAGCTATTGCAGCCCCTATCTCATTTTTCTCCGCGCATCCTCACGACACGCATCCAAATGCGGTGACTACTGTATGTTGCCCGAGACTGCACCTATGCACTATGCCCATGAATTCGCCTGAGTTTCTATTCCACTTTGCGTCTTACGAGGGGGGGGGGCGAATCTTCGATAGCCTGCAGCTCGATACATTGTTACTTTCACACAGTCACGATGCAGATTCCCACGATTAGATAAGCGCCTCGTCCGATCCGGCGGATAGCCCCACAACCAACTTCGCTCCACAACCACCATCCGGGACACAGGCCGCCCACAGCAGATACCGACCAGGCGAAATATCGCGGATGCAGTGATCGGCGGAATGCGACAATGCTCTCTCGAGAATGGATGCCATCGCCTTATGTGCTCGTGATACGCCCTTGCTAAACAGGGGCTTGAAGACGCCACGCTGGACACCACCACCTTCCATGTCGTCCCCCTTTTTCTCTTCGCTGAGCGTTGCGTACATGCAAGCTATTACTCGCGCACGCAAGGATTGTGTTGACGCATGGACCGGTCGAGGCCCTCAGCTTGTTGGGAGGAGTATCGCAGGACGATCGGGCCAGAGTGATCGCACCGCGCACCCAAAAGCGGATGCAGCCTCTTCCTCTCCGTCATTTACCTAACAGCTATCCCCGGGATGACCGAATGCGGGTCCCGGATATGGCCCGTTTTACAAAAGTGCACGAGTCCCAACGCCCTGTTTGCCGATCTCACCAACCCATCAACAACTCCACCGTTAAACCGTCTTCTATACCGTGCCTACTTCTATTTGACCGGGCGATTGGCTCACTTCACTCAACAACGACATCCATACCAGCCGTCGTACCATGGACTTGTCACTTGCTTTCGGTGGTGCGCTCGAGCACTACACACAATACGCGGAATCGTCCTCTTCCTCGTCCTCATCGGAGCCTCTTCACCACGACTGGACGATGCAGCACCTAGCGTATCCTCCAGGTCCTTCGAGCGACATGCAGCACTTTACGTATGGCCTCCCGCTTTATGAAGCCACGATCCACCAGCCGGTCGGCATCCGCCCCATCCTCCCCCTCCTCGCAACGTATTCCACCTATCACAGGGCGTCGCCCGACGACCTCCACCCTCCGCTCGACTTCGCCCAACCGTCGTATCCACCCGCCCCGCTCGATATGCACCCGCACTGGATCTCACACTCGCCAGAGGACGCGGACGGGAACGGCCTCGAGGCGCCGCCCTCTCTCTACGGCGAAGCTTCGTCCGGAATACAAACCTCGCTCGACACACTACCAGAGTACGACGAGGAGATGGGCTCGCCCTCCAACCCGGTGATGCAGCTGAAGCCGCATGCGCTAGCACCCGAGCCGGGACCACTGGAAGGCGAGGCGGTTGCCGGGTCGCTCGACCTCACGACGGGTCAGTTTTACCATAGCCAGGAGCATCCGCGGTTGCGGACCGCCCAGGCTTGCGACAAGTGCCGCATGCGCAAAGCGAAGGTAGCCCTCTAGTACCCACATCCTGCTATGATTGTCAGCTAACGCAGGTCTTATCTTCCAGTGTTCCGGGGAGAGCCCGTGCAAGCGCTGCGTCGTGCGCGGCCTTGTCTGCGAGTACATCGGCGAGCGCAAGGTGCGGGGGTCCGTTAAGAACAGGAGTCGTCGCGGAAGCGTGCGCGATCGATCCGCGTCCGACGCCTCCACCGTCTCCACTGCATCCACCTCGGCCACCTCCGACGACCCCGTCCCGTCGTCGCCCGACATGAGCGCCTTCTCCGACCTTGCGCAGGACATGTCCTCGCTCAGCGCATTCGAGAAGCCGCGGTCGATGTCGCTTCACATCGGGATGGAGTCGACGATCTACCATCGTCGCCGGAGCACGGCGTCGGACGCATCGGACAGTGGCAGTTGCTCGTCGTCAGAGGGTATCAGCGGCGGATTCTTGTCGCTTCCTGACGCTAACGCGAGCACGCTCCTATCGAGGAGACGCGCGCAGAGCCTAAGCTCGCCGATATTGTGAGTCAGGGGCACCTTCTTTCGTCCCTTTTTTTGTTGGGGTTTCTGATGTCGTTCCAGAACACCGCGGCCGATGCATGCCGCCGCCCGCTCCGCAGGGACCATGCCGCCCAGCCCGCTCGGTCAATGGACGCCCATGACTCTCGCGTACCCGGAGTCGCAGGACTTTAGGTTCGGCAACCCCCCGCTCTTGCATGGAAATTATCTCGAGGAGGTCACTCCTCGAGTCGATCAGGCTCAGCAAGCGTGGATCGAAACGAGCGCGGTCAATCCCTTCCCCGAGTACTAAATACGGTCTTTGATCTTTTCTGCCAGTTGTGTTCCACACACTTTGTTTGCTGGATTCCTACGGTAGCGCGATAGTGCGCGTCCGTCGATTTGCTTCTGTATCTTTGTCACACCGTCTCATGGTTATCTATTTCGATCATCACATAAATTCGCGTCATCGTCGTTAGACTTCAAGCTAGAGATGGCTTCCCATCCACTGTGAAAATCTGAACCATCATATCGCCATTGCTCCTCGCTTGATTCATCCGCGGATATGGGAAATTCTGAGTACCTCGGATCATCAGTAGCAGCGTGAGGGCGAACGACCAGTAGGTATCACTCAAGACTTTGAGTCTTGTGAATCGTTTCCATTTCTTCGAAAACGACCTTCAAAGTTCAGATTATTTGATTAGGATGAGCCTCAAACGCACAACGAGCTCGCACGACTGAGACTCGACGCCAGCGGCCAACGTGCAATCGCCAAAGGCCGGCCAGTCACGTGCGTACCCCATCGCGATTAGCTCCCCCCTCAGGTTTTGCAGCCTCCCCGCCTCTTTTTTACGTTCCAGCTTTTCTCTTTACCTCCAACCTCGACGACCCAGCCATGTCCGACAGTCTGCCCATCAATCCCACCGGCATCGCCGCGCCCACCCCGCAGAACACCCCGCTTCAAAACGCCCCCATTGCCCAAGGGCTCTCGCGCCCGACCGTGCCAGACATCACCGAGGGCGACGAGCCCGACGAAGACGAGGAGGACGCCGAGGACACCGCCTCCGGCTTCCAGGCCACGATGGCGGGCCTCGTCCAAGGCAAGCTCCAGAGCTTGCTCGGGAAGAGCTCCGGCTACGTCGAGAGCTTGCCGGTCGAGGTCAAGAAGAGCGTCGCGGGTTTGAAGGGTATCCAGGTCAAGCATACCGAGCTGCAGAACCAGTACAAGAAGGAGTGCCTCGAGCTTGAGAAGAAGGTGAGCAACTCGTCTTTCGCACTGTGGGCGTGAGCTCGATCTATCGTCGTCATTCGTGCCTCTCCCGTCCTTGTTCTGGCTTTTTTCGAACTCGCATCTCGTTGCATCTGCCAACGATCCAATGATATCGCACCTCCTCCACCGCGATATCCACGGTCGACGATTTTCCTTTCCATCTCTCGATCTTTTTTCTTTGTCTTCCTCTGTCTCGTGCCGCATCCATTCCCGATAGCTAACTCGTACTTCCGCGTGTAGTACCTCGAGCTCCAAAAACCGCTGTACGAGCGCCGTCACGCGATCGTCACCGGCCAGGCGCAACCCACGCCGGAAGAAATCGAGGAGGGCGAGAAGGTGGCCCAGGAAGACGACCCCGCGTACACCCCGCTTCCCGCAGACGCCGTCGCTGCCACTCCGGCCGCGGCCATCCCCGAGTTCTGGCTCACCGCGCTCCGGAACCACGTCGGCCTCTCGGAGATCATCACCGACCGCGACGCGGGCGCGCTCAAGCACCTGACCGACATCCGGATAGCCTACCTCTCCCCCCCGGAGGAGGACAAGCCCGGCTTCCGGCTCGAGTTCGAGTTTGAGGAGAACGAGTACTTTGAGAACAAGGTCCTCACGAAGACGTACTATTACCAGCCCGAGGTCGGATACTCGGGCGACTTCTTGTACGAGCGTGCCGTCGGGACCGAGATCAAGTGGAAGGGCGACGACAAGGACCTCACCAAGGAGTACGAGATCAAAAAGCAGAGGAATAAAAGTGAGCATTGCTGTCGAGGTCTTGGGAGCGAGTTGCTTATACCGGGCGTTAGACACCAACCGCACGCGTCTCGTCCGCAAGTCGCGCCCGAGCGATTCGTTCTTCAACTTCTTCAGCCCCCCTGTCCCGCCTAGCGACGACGAGGAGGAGGAAGTGGACGCGGAGGATCTTGATGAGCTCGAGATGAAGCTCGAGGTCGACTACCAGATCGGCGAGGACATCAAGGAGAAGGTACTGCCTGGCCACTGGATCCCGCTGTGTCGCATACCTGATCAGACTCTTCGTAGATCATCCCTCGTGCTATCGACTACTTCACCGGAAAGGCTCTCGAATACGAGTCTATGGATGAGGACGACGATGACTACGAGGACATTGACGACGACGAAGACGGGTTTGAGGATGAGGTGCGTGAATTCGACGAGAAATCCTCATCGCCATAGTCGCTCACGTCCTTCACAGGACTCTGACGAGGACGAGGCGCCGGCGAGGCGGCGTGGACCCCCTAAGGGCCGTGGCGCGAACAACGTCGACCCTGAAGAGTGCAAGCAGCAGTAAACCTCTCGCATCGCGTTTCCCTCCCATCACACTCCCTCTCTTCGTCTTCCTCTCCTATGTGGCTTCTCTACTCAAGGATGATATAACGGCGTCGAATAAACGGCAATCGCGATCCTCTCTCACTCGACCCACACCTAGCGCGCCTCCCAAACGTAGTTGCTTCCTCCCGATGTTTAATGAATATTGTGTCTGTAGGCGCCAAATAATGTATGACTATGACATTGAGAATGGGGGGAAGTACAGAAAGGATCGAGATCAGGGAGCCGCGATCTTGAGGGAGTGCGGCTCGCCCTTGGCGGTATCGCTGACCTCCCAAGCGTCGACCTCCACCGCGCCGTCCGCACCGACGATAAACTGTACCTCCAACCGCGTCCTCCACCGCCCCTTATCCTTCGCCGCGAGCTTCGCCTCGAAGGCGACCGCGCCGAGCAGGTGCTGCTTGGTGACGATGCGCTCCTTCACCTCCTCCTCCGGCTCCTCCTCCTCCTCGTCCTCCGGCACCTCGTCCCCCTCGTCGTACTCGATCTTCGGCGGCTTCACGAGCTCGACCTTGACGTCCTCCTTCGCCTCCCACACCTCGAACCCGACCTTCTTCGCCTCGCCCCCGCCGAGGTCGACGTCGAACCGGACCGCGCGCCGGCACGGCACCGCCGTCTCCGCCTTGACGCCGGTCACCCAGAGCCCGCCGAGCGCCGCGTCCGCCGCGGCGCCCTTCTCCTCCGGGAACAGCACCCCCACCGCGGCGCCGGTCGCGCTTACCTCCGTCCACTTGCTGTTCGTATCGAACGCCCACCTCACCTCCTCGTCCTCGTCCGCGTCGCCGAGGTGGACGAGGAGCTGCGCCTGGAGCGCGCAGCCGCGCGCGAGCAGCGTCGTCGGGTCGCCCGCGCCGCCGCCGACGACGGTGCCGGCCGTGAACGGCGTGACGAGCGCGTCGCCGAACGCGGCCACGAGCGCCTCGTCCAGCCCGGGCAAGCTCGCGCTCCCGCCGGCGTACACGACCTCGTCCACCGCGAACGGGTCGAGCCCCGCCTGGTCCGTCACGAGCCTTGCCGCGGCGCGCGCGACGTGCGCGTACACGGCGCGGGCCTCCATGTCGAACCGCATGCGGTTCAGCGAGCCGGTGTAGTCGAGGCCGTGCTTGAGCGACTCGACGGCGCAGGTGGCGGCGCCGGCGGAGGCGGAGACGGTGCGCTTGGTGTGCTCGAGCGCGAGGCGGAGCTTGGCCTCGGCGCGCTGGTCGTGCGTGTCCGCGGCGGGGCAGACGGCGAGCGGCGTCTTGGTCTTCTTGGTGAAGTCCTTGGCGAAGAACTTGACGAGCGCGTCGTCGATCTTGTCGCCGCCGACGGCGGGGTCCGAGGCGCGGGCGAGGACGTGCGCGAGGCCGGCGCGGAGGGAGACGAGGGTGAGCTCGAGCGCGGACGCGCCGAGGTCGACGATGAGCTGCGTGCGGTCTGCGGGGAGGGAGGAGGCGGAGGAGGCGGTGGAGGCGGCGACGGCGGCGCCGGCTTCGTCGAGGAGCTGGAGGACCTTGACGCCGGCGGCCTCGGCGGCGTGCTGGAGCGCGAGACGCTGGTGCTCGTCGAACCAGGCCGGGACGCTGAGCACGGCGCCGTCGACGGGCTTGCCGAGGAAGGCGGTCGCGGAGCCGAGCAGGGATTTGAGGAAGAGCGTCGTCGCTTCGGCGACGGTCAGGATCCGGTCGGTCGGCGCGTCGGCGCCGACGGAGACTTTGAAGGCGGGCAGGTCGGCGTGGTCGGGGTGCTGGATGACGGGCGCGGAGACGGTCGGCTTGTCGTGCGGGAGCTCGGAGAACCTGAAGGCGGGGTGCGTGAGCGACGGGATCGCGCGGGCTGGGGGAGAAAGCGGTTACTTTTTGCCGAGGAGGTTGCGGAAGCCGGTGATGGTGTTGTGCGCGTTCTTGACGAGCTGCTGCTTGGCCCCGTTTCCGATGTACTGTTCAGCGGAACGCGGTGAGTTGTGCGATTCCGTCGTCTATGGCGGCAACGGGTCCACGTACGACTTCATCGCCCTGGAACGCGATGGCGCAGGCGATCTGGCGTTCGCCGTCTTCGTTCGCAATGCATTCCGCAAGGTTCTCCTGATGGCAGCGCAAGATGTAACGTCAGGCCACGAAGTCCACGATGACGAAAGACGTCCGTACTTTCGTGAGGACCGCGATGGACGCGTACGAGTTGCCAAAGTTGATGCCGACGACGGTGGGGAGTCCGTTGACGTCGATAGGCGCGTCCGCCGTACCGTTCGGCGTCGAAGTCATCGATTTTTTGTCTGTTTCCGGTCGTCTAGAAAACCAGAGAAAGGGCCCGTCTATGGAGTTCGTAAAGTGCAAAGCGATGGGAGGGCTGATGGTGGCAAATTTCGAACGGATTGGCCGACCCTAGAGCGGGGTTTGTGGCGGTGCTTCATTGTGGCTCGTGTGGCGGGCCATGCGTCTCCTCGCCGTCTGCGGCGACGCCGAGTGCGTCCTGCTGCCGTCCGTGCTTGCGCTTTGTATATTTGAGTGACTCGTGCAGAGCCTGAACTTTGCTCAAGCCCGTGTCATTGCGCTTTGCGATTGCCTACTAGGTCTGCCTTCCATTTGCGTCGTACCGGATATTGATCGCCACGTCTGCGGTGAATGTGGATCGCAGCGTGGCACGCAGTACGGCAAGCGTAATAGCGCTGGTTACCTGCGGTCCTGACAATAAGGGTCGATAGCCTCGTGGGACGGCGCAACGCGAAGGCCGCAGGGCGTCGAAAAGGAACAATGGCCATCCCCGGCTAACCGACGCGCGCACAATAGGCTCTCCGGACAAAGGCCTCTCAGCGCCTTGCCTCCCCCTCCGACTATAAAGCATCGATGTTTTTCGTTCTGCGACACTCCAGTCTCCTGCTCTGTGTTAGCTCTTTCCTTCTCGCTTCCCGTCTCCTCTCTCGACCTCGACGCCAGCTCTTGACGAGTCTGCCCCTCGACACGACACCTGCCTCAGCCCCTCTTTGACGACATCTGCATCCGCTCCCCGTCTCCTCATCCCCATCGCCCCTGTCTGCTCGCACCCCACCGCCCCTGATCCCACCGCTCTAGACCGCCACAGCTCCCGAGCCCCGATTCATTGGCCGCCCCACGATGCCCAAGCTCACGTCGACCCTGCTCACCCTCTCGGCCCTGCTCGCCGCCCTCGCCCCCGTGCCCGTCTCCGCCCACGGCTACGTCCGCAAGGTCGCGATCGACGGCCACTTCTACGCCGGCAACTCGCCCAACAACGAGACGATCGTCGCGTCCCCCATCCGGCGCATCGACGACCCGTCCCCGATCAAGGGCGCCGCCAACGCCGCCGTCAACTGCGGCAAGAACGCCGCGATCGCCCCCGTCGTCGCCCCCGCCAACCCGGGCAGCATGCTCACCTTCGACTGGGCCGGCGGCGACGACGGCAACTGGCCGCACAACACCGGTCCCATGCTCACCTACATGGCCTCGTGCGTCGATTCTCCTTCCTCCTTCCTTCCTCCTTCCCTTCTTTATTCACCGATCTCGTTGATAGGTGCGGAAACACGACGTGCGACAGGTTCGACTCGGCGAACGCGTCCTGGTTCAAGATCGACGAGGTCGGCAAGAAACCCGACAACCACACCTGGTTCCAGGCCGACCTCATGCAAGGCCTCACGCACACCGTCCAGCTGCCCTCCGCGCTCTCCGCCGGCGACTACCTCGTCCGGCACGAGATCATCGCCCTCCACCTCGCCACCTCCAAGGGCGGCGCCGAGTTCTACGCGTCCTGCACCCAGCTCCGCGTCGGCGGGAACGGCACCGCCTCCCCGGCCTCGCTACCCGAGGGGGAGGTGGTGAAGCTCCCCGGCGCGTATAAGGACACCGACCCGGGCATCTTCGACCCGACCGTGTTCGACACCGGCGCGAACTACACGTTCCCCGGGCCGGACGTCGCGAAGGGGCTCGCGGCGGGCGCGAGCGCGATCACCGCCCCGTCCAACTCGACCGCCAGCGGGCGCGAGCCCACCGTCGCCTCCGTCTCGTCCTCTGCCTCCTCCTCTGCATCGTCGACGAAGAGCACGAAGACGGCGTCGTCGTCGTCATCGTCCGAGACGATGGCCCACTCGGCTCGCGCGCAGCGGTACTATCCTCGCCGCGTGTCGCGCGTGATGCGCGACTTGGTCGACTTTGACACCGACGGCCCGATCATCGCCGACCTCAAGTGGTGAACGCCGTCTTACCTCGTCGATCCAGCCCTCACGCTCTCTCCATGTCCCGGTCACGAACCCCCCCCCCCTTCCACCCTTCTTGCGACGGCCGGCTTCGTCGCATCGAAGCGGAGAGAGAAGAGAAACGACCCTGACGAACGTCTGTCATTCTGTATCAACCTTGCTGGACATTTTGTGGGACTCGGTCTCAGACTGCTCGCATTCTTTGTATCATCATCATCATTTGCGTATATCATTAGCACGGGCCGAAGGTAAAGTAGAGAGCTAGCTATATAATGTACCGCACAGTCAATCATTACTTGCTGTTTTGCTATTATCTACCTCGAATGTTGGGCGGTGAAGCCTAAAGTCGAACGACGATCGCCGTCGGCTTCCCACGCCCGCTGGTCATCCTGAACGTTGACGACGGCGTTTTTTTTTCTGGCCAACCATGTTCTACGAATGCGAGCATCTCTTTACGTCCCGGTATCCTTCTAGCCTCACCGATGATGACGTGTGCTTTCGACTCGCCAACCGCTGGAATGTCGCTCTAGACTCGCGTAAAAGACTCCAAGGGACTTGGTAGCCGGACGCGGCGAAGCGTCAATTTCAGCTCATGTAGGATCGAGACAAGGGTATATACTGTAAGCACCACCGTCGTCGTTCACGTTTGCGAATATAGAATACAACAGTCCGCTAACATGTTTTTGCGGGTTAGCAGCCACTCGACCCTATCCCGTATAGAGCACCTCTCGTTCTGCATGGTCGCACACGAAAGAAAAAACCCTCGACCAAGTCGATGCAACTAATGTACCACCAGCACGCGGCCCCGCAGATGTTGTTTGGATATGACGCTCCGTTGCTGATCGTGGGCCTTCTTTCCGAAGACGCGGAGTCCGTGCCCTTGCTGGAAGTCCCGTTGTGCCCTGGAATTCGTCGCGCATTGACCGCCCCCTCCACTCGTCCCCTAGCGAGCCGGCGACACGTCGCGTGAATGTACCTGCGTCATGAGCTGGCAAGATCAAGCAACCCTACCACAGATGCGCCGCATACTCGCCGCGCAGCCTACCGACGATGGAACGCGAAATGGGGGGGCTGAATCGCGACGCTGGGGGGTGCTGTGGAGGTACGGTTGTCTTGAGGAAGATGCTGTTCGTCAGCATGGAGGTGCCAGGGTCGCGCGTGGTCGGAGACACGCGTACGGGTTCGGATGAGAAGGAGGACGTGGTTGAGCGCGAGGAGCTATGGGTTGTTCACGAGGCACCGAAGAGATGGAGACCGCATCCCCCTCCAGAGGTTCCGCACTTCATCACCTGCAAGGCGAGGCGCATTTCTTCTTCCGGCCGTCATGAACGGCCATCTTTTCGGGTGCTTACTGCGTTCTCATCCCCCCCCCCCTCCCTCCTTCTCCTCACGTACCGTGTATCTTACACCCTGGAGTGGTTTATGTCAAGTTTTGATCATCTTCTGAATCTGTTCCGGTTCCTCCGATTACAGTATATACACCACGTCATGGGCGCACACCCCTTGGCATCCATACCCCACACCGATTTCACTGATTCCCACCCTCGATCGTCTCCACCACCAGTCCCATCTCTTGACAGGACGCGCACCCGGCGGCCATCCGAGGTCATCCGTCGCACTGCGGATGCTTCCGAGGCCTCCCGCCCGGTGATCTCCAGCCGCACAACGAAGGTTCTTTGTGTGCTACGGCGTCTCTTCCGCTCGCCGGGAATCATGCGATTCCCCGTACCTCGATGTCTTCTCCCAAGATCGGGATTGTGGGGAAGGAGAGGGCCGGGGAAGGCGAGGCCGATCTTGGGTCGTCTCGCTTGGCTCGAGCTCCTTTCTCTGGCTGCGACGTCTGCCGCACCACCGAATGCAGGACCAACACATAATCACGCGCTATTCTTCATGTGAGTGATCCCCGGCGTGCTTTCCGCACCGTTCGTTGACGGGAAACAAACATCAGGATCCGCTATTGGTGTTACACACAACCGTTCAAACCATGATGTTGTACACCTCTCCATACGTGCAGAGCTGCGTCAAGTTCGACGAACACTGTCATGGAATGTGGCGGAGAGGTCCGCTCCGAGCCTTCGCAGAAAGTCAGATGCACAGGGTTGACACTCCGCCGATATTGCTCGCACTCAGGCACGTTGCCCCATAAAAGCGGGGGAAACGGCTTCTCGAATCCCTCACCGGAGAGTATCTTTCTCGGTCTCCCGGCCCCTTTTCCCCGCACGCACTCGTTTTTTATCGGATACGTTCTCAAGACGACGGTAACGACAAAGATACTCCCACCTGAAGCAAGAAACGTTCGAGAAACATGTCTGACTTGGAGAAAGGACGCGTCGAGCACAACGAGGTGGCCACTGCTGAGCTCAACGCGAACAGGACTCGTGGCGCGGGGAGTGCGCCTCACGTTAACGGTCATCACCCGTGGAACCAGCCGCTTGCGATCAAGCCCGTTACGCGTTTGGGTAACCCTGTGCCTCTGTACGTCCATCCCTACATCTTCGTGTCGCGGCGGGCCTAACGGTTCTCATCTTGCATCAGTGGCCTGACGTCCTTCGCGTCGACTACGCTCGTTCTGTCGTTCTGCAACGTCCAAACGCGCGGCGTGACCGAACCGAACATCGTCGTCGGCATGACGCTCTTTGTCGGCGGTCTGGCTCAGTTCCTCGCCGGTTCGTTCACCGTATCGTCCTTGTGAGGCGAAATGTCTGAAGTTCACGCTTACTTCCTAGGCATGTGGTCGTTCCCCTGTGGCAATACGTACGCTGCGACCGGTGGGTGCCTCATACATTACGATAGACCCCATCTGTTCCGGTTGTTTCGGTTGCCATCGCTTCACCACGGTGGTGGATACATTGAACATTCACTGATACCCACATCCCCGCGTAGTGTTCTCGGCATACGGCACGTTCTGGCTCTCGTACGCGTCCATCTTCATCCCGAGCACCGGCATCCTCGCCGCCTACGCCGACGTACCGGATCAGCTGCACAACGCGCTCGGCCTCTTCATCATCACCTGGTTCATCTTTACCATTCTTATGCTGTGCGTAACGCCCACCTTGTCTATTTCTCCTCCAGTCGCTGACCTTTCCGCTTCATAGCATCGCCGCTCTCCGGCTGAACGTCGGCTTCATCGTGATGCTGGTCTTCCTCGCGGCCACGTTCCTCCTCCTCGCTATCGGTGAGTTCCGTTTCCCCACAGGTCGAAAGCATCCAACAGCGGGCTCATTACATCTTCGCAGCCGAATTCCAGAATTCGCTCGCGATCACCAAGGCGGGCGGTGTGATCGGGTTGATCACGTCGTTCATGGCGTATTACTGCGCCATGGCGGAGCTGCTGAAGCCTGAGGACAGCTGGTTCACGTTGCCGATGGGCAACATTCCCAAACGCCTTGATTAGCTGAAGGACAGATGAATAAGGACCGTGATGGGTTCGGCGGCAGTGTTAGCATTCTTTCCTTGTACACACCTGTGTGTTGGCAAGGTGTCGATCTGTCCACCGCCTCGCTATGGCCCATCTTAGCGGTACGGGAGGTTGAGCAGGGATTGTATTTGTACGATCGCAATGGATGGCAGGCTGAACGGGATGCGTTGATCTGGGACAAGCACGCGAATGCGAAAGCGGGACACACAATTATGATTATTAGCAGATATTACACTAAATTATGACAAGCCATTGCGTAACCGTAGAGGAAGGCGGGACACGGTGGTCGTGCTCACTTGCACCGTGAGCTTCGCAGGCAGAGAGCGGAGAGCCACGCGTCCCGACGACGACTGGTGACGGTTATCCTGCGGAAGCAATTTACAACACGAGGAGCCAAATTCTTTAACCAGAAAACCCAAAGGAGACGAGATCACAGACAACGGGCGGAATACGGTGGCCGTGCTCATTTGCACGGCGGGAAACGCAGGCAGAGCGCGGAGAGGTACGCGTCCCGACGACGACTGGCGGCGGTGATCCTGGAGAGCTGGTGACGGCAATTTGGGAACGTTCTCTTTTCTTCTCCCGGAACGAGAGGGCTGACGACCCGAAAGCGTATGCTTACGCGTATTCTTTTGGACTGACCTTTGAAGGTTCGCAAGGTCGCTCCCAGTCGGGAGCGACCCCTCGGGGTTGGTCTTCGCGATGGCATACAGAGTCGGGTGAGATATAGGCTTGGTCCAGAAGGCCTCCTCACCGGAAAGCTCGGCGAGGAGGGTGCCGTTGTTGTGGGTCTTCGCAATGGCTGACGGAGTCGGGTATAGGCGACGCTCGGGAGCGCCGCGGTAGGGAGGCCGCCAGACCTGATCATTTTCGGGGAAGGAGAGGCAGAGGCAGAGGGAATTTCCAATATGTCGTCCAGATTAGCCATGAAAACCGGCCATTCGGGGGTGGGACCAATGGGGTCGGTCGGGTCTGCGGCGGGTGTATGTGTGTTGGGGGGGTCGCTCGTGCTAGGGAAGTAAGCGTTGCCGATCGCGAGCGGCATCGAGTTCGGCCAGGGCCTCCTCTAAATCTCGAGGGAGCGCGTGCATCGCGAGGCTCTGACCCCGGGGATGAGATGGGCTCCATAGAGGTGAAGCATTCTTTGGTGCGCGCGAGGACCGGGTCCAACTTGTGCATGTCGTTCGTGAAGGCCGTGTCGAAGAGGGAGTGCGTGTCGTCGCAGACGAGGGGCTCGAGCGGAGCGTCGATGACCGGTTCGTCTGTGGCAGAGGTCGCGTCTTCTGAACCCTTCGAGATCGAAGCAGACTGTGTCGTTTGCCAGTTGTCTGGAAGGAAATCGTCTGATATTTGCGTATAGATGAGTCCCAGCTGCCTTGGTCGCCATCGTGCGCATGAGGTAGTCATAGTCGGCTGTCAAGGATGCGTGTTATCGCCGCGCGTGTTGCTGCGCGAGTTGAATAGAGACATGCACTAGTACTGCCAGGGTTCCGCATTACGAACTAAGTCTGGATTAATTTTTCTATGGACATCATGTGGCTGGTTCAAATGTGATTGTTACATTCAATACAAAGCTTTATAGCTTGCACAAGTGATATATACTTATATGGCAGGTGACCTGCCTTAGAAGGATATATTATTCCATTGAAAGTATGTTTGTACTCTAATCTACTTCATGTCTCAACCACATCTGAACCAGCGATTCCATATGAAATACGGATTTTTGTAGAGAAAGTAATCCAGACTTCGTTCGTAATGCGGAACCCTGGCAGTGATGAAACACTTCGAGAAACCCGCTGCCCCGTTTCGGCGCTCATTGCGGCTGTGAGCCTCGAGGAGACAGCGTGAGATGCTATATCAAGCACAATCGGAGCATGGGAAGGGAGCGGTGGCCCTGGAGCACTAACACTGATGGTGGTCCCGGAGCACTAACACTGTTCTCTGGGAACCCGGAAGTCATAAGTATACATAACTTTGTTGTCGGAAGGCATACTCCCGGCGCTAACAGTTGTATAGCTTTGATCCAGCTCTCTATATAGACCACGCTTAAGCTTCGTACCTTGTGCCCACCTCGGCATAGATCTCCGACCACACGCGCCCTTGTGCCCCCGATCATGAAACCCAAGCCAACAGGCCGCGCCCGACGTGCATATAGCGTCATCGACGAAATGGGCTTGAGTCAACGGAAGGAAGAATACAACCAGATCATGGTCGGTCATTGATTTTCTTGTCGAACGTCGACCCAGCTAACCTGCCATTCGCCCAGCTTGGGATCAGGACGGCTAGCAGACGATTGCTGGACATAACTCAAACATACGGAAAACAAGACCGTCACAACATCGAGAAGATGAAGCTCGAGGTGGGTGATGACGGCCTGGAATATTGAACATTATATTGACAAGCCACGCAGCTGAGGCATCAATTTCCGATTCTCAAGAATTTTGAAGATACGTGGCCCGTGGACGATTTGGCCAAGCAAGCGCTGGAGAACGACAGGGCTCAACAGCGCAAGGTTACATCCACGGTTTGCAAGTGTTATCCTCCATTGACGTTGTACATACTGCAGCGAAAGCAGCCGGAGGTGTATGAGGATGAACATAGCGCGTCCAGCTCTGATGCGCTGAGGCCGCAACGCAAGAAACAACGAGCCGTAGGAGTTTCCCATGCGAATCGCCGTGCTAACTGGAAGTCACGATTCCCTTGCCGTCAGGTTCGCACAACCACAAGGGATCAAGCCCGCGCAGATAGCAGCAATGTGGACGCCACGATCTCGGCTCCGGATCCGGATACAGGGAACGGGCCAGTCGTTTTCGATGCTGCCCCGCAGGTGAGCTGTCTTTGTTCAAGAACATTCGCGAGCAACTAATACTCCCGAGACACAGGTCCTGAGCGTCGAGGACGAATCCCCGAGATCAGGCTCTGCTGTTTCACGTCAAGCCAGGTATGACTTACAGGAGCGTGTTCATCATTGGCATCTTATCAGTTCCATGATTTTCATATGCAAAGCCCGTTTCCCGATTCCGACACTCCCGAGAAATACTATGTTCCCGTCTTACCATCGGATCCAGGCCCAAATGTACGCAGTGCTCCTTCTATCTATGTGTCGGAGAGAAGATTTATGGTGTTCATCTTGTATACGACAGGCCTCCTCTGATTTCTGGTCGCGAGTTACCTTTGAGGTCAAAGAGAACCGGCCCTATACGGATAGCCTGAAGTTATCCCGAATGGTAAGCATGCGATACTCCAATTATCGAAGCAGGCTGACGTATTCTGAATAGGAGATGAATCATACGCATGCATTGATCAAGCTCCTCCTATCGGGCGTAGACGCCGGCTTCTATTCCTCGCCGTTGGTCGCGAAGTGGGTCGCGGATTGGATCGAGTCATTGTGCAAGCATTCCAGAATACTTCAAGCATGGGATGTGACGTTTTTGCTGCATATCACCACACACTGCATCGATATCATCCGCCCACATGCTGATGCTGTGTTTGATGTTATTGAGAAGACGGCTTCAGCAGACCAGCTACAATTGCAGCAATATGAATATAAGGAAAATGAATACTCTGACAGCTGTGTCGGCAACCTCGAGAACTGCATTTACTACGTCGACAGGCTATTTGATCTAGTCACGAAATTTGCTGCACAATTTCCTGACACGCATCAAGAGGCAAAAAGAAAGCTTGTCATAGCACTTATGACGGCACATGCGAACGTGATATCCTTGATTCCATCGAACTACGAATGCAAGGGTCAAGATGATCTATCGTGAGTGAACATCATGATCGAAGCGCCTTAAACTGACTATCTATTTAGACATCGGCACTGCGAGGCTGTCACCGAAACGCTGCTCAGTAATCTGGACCTCACCAAGTGGACACATTTACTCCGGGAAGTGATAATACGGCCTGGGGATGGCCGAACTTCACTCGTAGATCACTGGGCACCGCGTGTTCTGGAGCACGCCCTCTCCTTTTTCTCCAAGGATGTAAGTTACATGGAATAGTTGAGGCGCATCGCCAACGTTGATCATGATAATGACGGACGCCCACACTGTTTTGTTGCAGATGATTATAGAAGAAGTTCACAACACACTGGAATACATGGAGCGAATGCATGCTACCGGGGCCAAGTACATCGCCTGGAATAGCAAGATGATTTCTTCTGACTGTTAGCTTAGATTGGGCGACTACTGGTTAATCTCTCATGCAATTTGGAACAAGATGGAATATGATCCTGAATGCCTTTGCTACCCGGAATGTAACCCCTGTTATGATTTCATTGATGGCATAACTCATGAGTTCTAGGCCTGGAGGATATCGCGTCAATCATATGTTTGAAATACGAGAAAGGTGGCTCTGACTGCGGGGACCTTTGGAGTCTAGCACTTATATGCCGAAGAACGGACGAGGCCCATGGCGACACGAAACACGGGATGAAGTGTCTATCAAGTATATTGACAGCTTTTGCTACTTCTCCGGTGAGGCATCCGTAGTTCATCTCCGAGTCAATCACCCACTAAGGACTATCAGGCCGCCTTCTCTGAAGTCGACGTCGATGAACTCCATGAAATTGTCGACTATCTGGAAGATGATGTTCGTGAATTGCCCGAGGTGAGCACACCCATCCTTACGTGTACATCGTTGACGACCTTGCCGTGTTTTGTGTAGTTTGTGATACACGGCGTGGTAAAACACTGTCTGGATAAGGATGCCCTAGAGTATTTACACAAGGATGATCTTCTCGAACTTTTTGCGTTATTCCTGGCACACACAAGCGTCGATCTTTCCTATGCTTACGCCGATATTCTGAACATAGTAGACCATCACGTCGGGTGGTTGAAACTACGAGCATTAGTTATTGCTCAGATGCTTCAGCGGGAAAACTTAGAAGATGCAGACTACGGAAAGGTGAGGAATCAGTCCACACGTTGAGTACTGTCATTGAGCAAATCGTTCACAGGCAATTTTCAAACTAGGGGAGATATCAAAGCGGGATCAATATGCAGTTGAAATCGCCGTGCCGGCCCTCATACGTATTTGTGAGAGCAGCGACGCGCGAGCCCGTCAGCACATCCCGTACATGTTGCATCTCTTCGCGGAGGTCCTCCGACAGTCCCAGAATCAGTCGGGGACCACACGCGGAAGAGATGTCGACTACGAAGGCACGATCAGTGCTCTCCGAAGCTTCATACAGGGCCCTGCAACTCATATATTCGGCCTTGAGATGCTTAACGCCTATGGTCTCTTCTCGTACCCAGCTATTACGGCCCACGGAAACACGGTTGTGCACCAGGATTTGTTCACCGCAGCCTCTGTTTGGGGGGTCTGATCACGATGAAAGACGGATTCCCGCACTAGTCCCATTTTTGTATGAAAGTATTTGTATATACATTCTCGTTTTGCTTCTCAAGCGAAGTCGATGAACTCCCTCCGAGCACGGTGAGCGTAAAACAGGATGGAGGGTGCCGAACCAATACACAGAATCCACCGGCCTCGATCACCATATTGTATGAGGGTTCAATCATCTTGTCGGCGGGAACAACGCACAGATTGATAGCTGGAAGGAGGACACTTGTACACCATGATTTAGACCATAACCGCGTCATCAGTGAATACTACTTACTGCTCTGTGAATTTTAGATGATCGGACCCAAGATTTGCACAGGAGGGGATGTAAACCGTCGAATGCAGCTGGGGCGCGCATCATACGCGTGGTCGGGAGATAAGCGGGAAATCGTCTCAGGTGCGCAGCTGCATTCGTGCAGGTCGTATATATGTGAGTGGAAAGGATCACTATCAGGCTCAAGTGCGTTCGAGGAAAAGATCATCTTGAGTATAAGAGCCGCCGTGAGAGAGGTGACCTACGTGCAACAAGGTTATATGAGAAGACGATATCCAGGCTCAATCGCTCGATGCCCACCGCTAACATATCACACGGCCTGAAGTTGTTTCACCGTAGTTCGCAGCGAGATTTACCCATACTGCCCCCAAAGATTCGGTCCGCGATGATGCGATAGTACGAGGCCGGCATACATGGCTGGCGTACCTCCTGGAGAGCGAGTACTAGTACGCGTTTGATGATAGAATCCATCCGAGTGACAAAGGGGAATGTCGACCAGTATCCAGCAAAGCATTGGGGCGGATGCGTCAACGTTGAAGTCAACAGCAAAGGAGCCCAGCAGAATTCACAGGGTCACATCCGGGAACGAGCCGCGCCCGACACGATTACGCCCAACCTTGTCGTCGTCCACCACATCGTCCTCGCCCTCCCCATCCTCCCTTCACGTCGCCGATGTCGACGGCAAAGCACAACCGCGGCGCGGGTTCTGGGTCGTCCGAGAACAAGGCGCCGACCAAGCTTCCCAAGTTTTTGCAGAAGGCGCAGAGCGTCGCCATCGCGGGGCGCGACCGCTCCAAGTCCGTCTCGCAATTGGAGGCGCAGGCCGCCGCATCGCCGACGCCCACCGCCTCCTCTTCGTCCTCGTCCACGATCCCGGAGACGCCGAAGACGAGCCGCAGCTCGCGTTTCATTCGACCCAGGACGACCCACCCCGCGCAGGACGATATCGGCACCGCCAGCCCGCAGCCGCGCCCTTCCTCATCGTCGATCACCACCGCGCCCTCGCTATCGACGGCGATGGACCCGACCGACTTCGACGCCGAAACTCCCGTGATCGTCGAGCCCGCCTCGCCGCCGCCGCCGCCGCACCCGTCGCTCGCCCCGCCATCCTCTACCGCGCAATCGATACCGATCCCGCGGCCGCGCACCCGCTCTGAGCGCGTCTACCTCCCCGGCGGCTCCGTGTCCGACTCGGCCGCGCCTCCTACCACCACCCCGCACTACGCTACCAGCACGCTCGCGAGCCCCTCGCGCACCTCGGGGGGCGGCATCACCGACCTCTCCACCAGGCTCTCCGGCTGGTTCAACCACACCTTCTCCTCCTCTACCACTGACCTCACGCTTCCCGGGATTATCGCGCAATCCGTCTCGGCCTCGAACTACCACAGCAACTCACCCGCCTCTCCCACGAGCGGGCGCAAGACCAACCCGCTGCTGACGGCGGCGAAGCACGGAAAGGGTCATCTGGATAAGGCGATGCGCTACCTCCTCGACTCGGACGCGACGCCGGACAGATGCACAGACCCGATCTGGCTGCTGGGCGTCAAGCACCCGGGCTACGAGCCCCCGCCTCCACTCCCTGCTGCGCCCTCCACGCCACCTCCCGCAGGCGGACGCCGCACGTCCGGCGACGGTCGCAGCCCCACCTTCCGCGCTACCGCGTCCACGTCCACGACCGCCTCCTCCTCCCCATCGTCCTTCGTCTCGATCCCTCCCCCGGTCTCGGCCTCGGGATCCAAAGCGAAGAACGACCCGGCCGCGCTCTGGCCGCCCGTATTTTACGCCGACTTCACCTCCCGCGTCTGGGTCACCTATCGCTCGCATTTTCAGCCCATCCGGGACACGACGCTCTCGGCCCTCGAATCCGACTTTGGCGAACAGGCGCAGAGCGCTAATACGTCCGGGAACAGCGTCGTCAGCGGCAGTCCGAGCAGCGGGAGGCGATGGTGGGGAGGCGAGAAGGGATGGACGAGCGATGCGGGCTGGGGATGCATGCTGAGGACGGGTCAGAGTCTGCTGGCGAACGCGTTGTTGCATCTACATCTCGGTCGTGGTACGTATATCCTCCATATTCACATTACGCTCTCTTCATGTATACGCACGAGACTGATCCTTTGTGATAGACTGGCGACGCCCATCTTATCCTCAACCCACTGCTGCATACGCATCCTACGTTCAGCTCCTGACCTGGTTCTTCGACTCGCCCTCCCCGCTCTGCCCCTTCTCCGTGCATCGCATGGCGCTCGCGGGCAAGGAGCTCGGGAAGGATGTCGGCCAGTGGTTCGGTCCCAGTACCGCTGCAGGTGCCATCAAGTGAGTTTTCGTTCGCCTCGCCTCGCTGCACTGTTTGCATGCTTGGGTAGCGGTCCCGAAGATTAGAAACAACTGGCGCTTGGCTGACGCGCGCCGCCCATTGTGACGTGGCGAATTGATGCTAACATGTTCTCCGATCTTTTATGAGAATCCCGCCTTCTTCATGCATAACGTGTATGCCCAACGTGGCTGATCAACTCCCGCAGGACACTTGTACACGCGTTCCCGGGTGGTGGTCTAGGCGTTGCTGTCGCGGTGGATGGAGTGGTCTACGAGACGGACGTTTTCTCGGCTTCGCACTCTCCAGATTCAAGAAGGCACCATCGGTTTGTCAGATCATACGTTGTTCTGTGCTTTGGATCTCATCATATGTTCTTCGATTCTAGGACTAGCACCTGGGGCGATCGTGGAGTCTTGATCCTCATCGGGATCAGGCTCGGCCTCGACGGCGTCAATCCAATATACTACGACACCATCAAGGCACGTCTTTACACACCCTTTCCCTTTGATCGTGAACCTTAACGTTCCGTGTAGGAGCTTTACACATGGCCGCAATCCGTCGGCATCGCAGGCGGCCGTCCTTCCTCATCCTACTATTTCGTTGGTTCGCAAGCCGATTCGCTCTTCTACCTCGACCCGCATCACGCGCGCCCAGCAATCCCGCTTCGACCCCCACCGCCTATGAGCCCTCCTAATGAGCTTGCAGAGACGTCATTCGACAGGGCAGGCACCGCCGCCCTCGGCGACGATTCGGACCGCGACACGTCCCGCGTCGGGCGGAGCAAGAAGGACAAGGGCCACAAGCACTCGCACTCGCATTCGCCAAGCGTGCGAGCCGCGAAGAGCCACTCTGCGTTTTACGCGCGCGCACCCGTGTCCGCCTCGCCGCTCACGCACACCTTCTCCTCGGCCTCGGGCTCCTCGGCCTCTTCCTCGTCGCACGGGCACGCGCGCTGGCGCTCGTCCGCGCCCGACTCGCCGTCGTCGTTCCTCAGCGTGAGCGATTTAGAGCCCGTCGTAGGCGGCCCGGGGTTCGAGGAGCTCGACCCGGTCCAGCGACATTATGTTCAGGCATACTCGGCGGCAGAGCTGAGGACGTTCCATTGCGAGCGCGTGAGGAAGATGCCCCTGAGCGGGCTGGATCCGAGCATGCTCATCGGGTTCTTGTGCCGGGACGAGGAAGAGTGGCGAGATCTGAGGGCGCGCATCGCCAACGTAAGTTGGTTTGGTAACGTTGGCCAGGACCGCGAGCTGATTTGAGACCGTGACAGATGGCGAAGAAATTCAAGCCGATCTTCGCGGTGCAGGACGAGCCGCCGAATTGGCCGTCGGATTCGGACTTTGGCGTCGGACTCGAGAGCGTGTCCGAGCCGGACATTGACCTGCCGTCGGACGACGACGAGGAGATCGTGAAGGACAACGAGGGCGAAGGCGAGGACGAGTTCTTTGACGCGGGCGAGGCGGCGGCGGAAGCCGTCGCGCGCAGCCCGTCGACGTCACCTGACCCGGACGAGGGCAGTCGCAAGGGCGGGAGCAGGAAGGGCGTGGGCAGCGAGGTCGACACGGAGGAGGACGTGGAGGCGCCGATCACGCCTGGCCCGAACCGATCGTCGTTTGACCCGGCGTTCACGGCGGCGGTGAAGGTGAATGTGAAGGGGAAGGATCGGGCGCACGAGGGGGAGGAGCAGGGCGATGGCGATGATATCGAGGACGACTGGGTGGACCCGGTGCCGATGACCCCTCCAGCGGCTGTTCAGGCGCCACCGATGAGTAGCCGGACTCCGAGCGAAGCATCGAGTGCGGGGATGAGCGTCGATGAAGGCGAGGAGAGGGACAAAGATCGGGACAAACCGAAGAAGAAAAAGAAGAAGGCGAAGAAGGCGCCGCCCCCGCCTCAACCGCAGCAGTACTTCGCGTTCCCCGCGTCGGCGGAGGGCGACGAGGAGGGGGAGGAGGGCGCTGATCCGGCTGAGGTGCCACCGAAGCGACGCGTGCCGCAGATGCGGACGGCGAAGGCGCGCGATGGTGGGCGCACGCAGAGCGGAGGCGTGAGGGCCATTCCGACCGAGGACGGGGACGACTTTTGATGCGTGGTTTGCTTTCGCTCCGACATCGGGCATCCCTGGTACGGAACCCAACGTTTGCACATGCACTTCCATTTTATTGGTGGCACATGCGCCTCGAACAGTGACCGACCCCCCGCAATTTTTCGATCTCTACTTCCCGTGGCAGTCCTTGAACATAAGTGTACGTTATTTGACTCGGATTTGTGTTGTTGTACGTAGCCTGCGTTGGTACATAGCCCTCGTGGACAATAGAGATACCCAGCCTTTTGAAGTTGCGCGCAACAGTACTCACTGCCAGGGTTCCACATTACGAACCCGGTTTGGATTAATTTTTTCACGCCAATCTGCCGTAGATATTGAGACCAAGGACCAAATACAGCTTAGATTGTAACTTGAATTTGTAGTCTATACCGCGTCGGAGTCATGTACGTTACCATAAGAATAAACCCAATGTGGGATTATAAATACCAACTCCATTATGTCCCAAACTCGCACATGACGTATCGACTACAATCTAGACTTATTGGGCGTAAAAAATCCAGAATTGGTTTTAACACAAATGTATACTTGAAATATCGACTGAGGTTTCAACCGGCCCTAGATTTCAAGTCCAGGCGAGTCGCGTGTTCAATTCACGTTGACCGTACACTAACCGAACTAAGTAAGACCGAAGAACGGACGATGACCGACATCTCCGTGCTGTGCCAGAGCCATGTTCGCGCACCGCTGCGAATAAACATAGGCTGTCGTGGGCTGGTAGTGGAGGTTCGGCGCCGACGCGATGTCGCTTCCGGCTGGCCGGTCATCGAAGCTGTGGCGAGATGACTTTCCGTTGAAACGGTCCCATCGTCGTCACCATACTGGTTGCTCGTCCCAGGCCTTCAATGCGGCAGGAAAATGTCGGCCAGCCAAGTCATCTCTGCATAGATCTGGCCCGGCGAGTCTAGTAGCGAGTTAAGATGATGCCGTTCATTGATACAGATACACGCGTATGTATGTATGCAAACACGATACAGCAAGGGCCCGGCGCTGCCGAGAAACGTCCATGAACAGCGAGACAGTCAGTACATTCGTACCGGTAGGGGTAATTCCGGCACTGGGTGGCATCTCGCGGACGCAATTACTTACAATAGAGTGGAAAAGCCGACGACGACGTGAGATGACAGCGGAGAAGGGTAATCTGAACCTAAGTTGCCACAAATACGCGCCTGTCACATCCCGAGCAGTCGCTTCAACCATCCCCACCACACGCTTTGCTCTGATCTATCGACGTGAGGACGCTGTTGAGCCGTAGCAGGCTGATAGGGCCCCTCAGCTGGGGTACGAAAACGGCGACTGCAAGCACGCATGCTTTCTAGGTAGGAACAGGGTGTGCGTGGCTCGAGAGGTTGGCCCGGCGCGATAGAGTGGGGGAGATAACCGCCGGGCATCGGCACGCCGACATCTTCGTAAACCCGACGCTTTGACAGGCAACGGGAGCATGAGCGCCAACGCAATACGGAAGGCGGTGAAGGCGGGCCGTTTATGTGGTCGACCCCGTCGTTCAGCGCAAAGACGTGCTGGACTCGCGGGAGTTCAACTAGGCAACCGGACGAGGATGCAAACTCGACGGCGAATACAAAGGTGTCTTTCTCGTTGACAAAGGCGCTCTGCCAACGGCCGGAGTCGTCTTGCTGCCAGACGAAGCTTGGGGGGGGGCATGGTTGCTCATAGCAGCATTGACGTGGGGGGGGTGGGGAGATCATGCGAGTCTCGTGTATCGTGGAGTCAGGATAGAGCACTACATGGAGCTTGTGCTCATAACGGAAGGTGGCGAAGACGAGTGGGGCTTTGGAAA